GCTCTTATAGGAGACTGTCCCTATTTAGAGGAAAAGACACGAGTGTTTAGGAATAATGGAAAATCAAGTCTGTAGTTTGCTTTATCCACCCTCAAAATGTCCAGAAAATAACTAATAATAAGGAATGTATGCATATGCACATATACACAAAGTGATCAGTGAAGCAATAAGATATGAACTATATGAGAATCTGGGGAAGACATGGAAATTCTTTGCACTGTTTTGGCAACTTTCCTGTACATTTAAAATTATTTCAAAACTTATTAAACTATACACACACACATACTACTCTCATTGGAAACTTCTTAGGATACAAAATTACCAGAGCCAATTTTTAAAAAGAAACTTTATTTCCGCTATAAACATATTAAAATTATAAAAATTGAGAAAAAAAAATCTTTTAAAGGTTGCAGTGTTATTAGTAATAAAAAAAAAATAGACCTATGAAACTACTGAGTAAATCAATTCTCTCTGGATTTTTTTCCCAGGTGAGGGGTCTAAATGAATTTGCGCTGAGATAGCCATCCTACCTTGTATATGAAATATTTTACATAATAAGCAAAGGTTAGGACCAGGTCTTTGCTAGGGAACTGTTCTAGATCACTCATGATGCCAAGGCAAGAAAGAGTAACAGTTGTCACTTCCTGAAGCATAATTAACCTCCGTCACTAGACTGTAGAATGCCTAAGGTCAAAACATTGTGTTATATAGTTCTTTTATTCTCCTGGACTGCTCAGCAATGACCACTCTGAATTTTCTACAATCCTTATAAGGAAAGGCATTCAAATTTTTTTTTTTTTTTTTTTTTACTGATTTAAAACATCAACTTCACAAAAAACCATGGATAAGGCCCTTTTTAGTGCTACAGAAAATACAGTAGTACTGAGAATCAGAATTAGGTCATCTACATATACAAACCAATTTGGGGGCAAAAAAAGCTCTATCATCTAATAAAATTCAAACTCTTTAGTTTGGGTTTCAAAGACCTCCACTAAATGATCCACTATCCCAACAAATTCCTTTCTTATTACTGCAAAGGGCGGGCTTCTAATCAGTGAATCTGCTATTTCCAGTCCATTTATTTCTGACATTCATTAATACAATCAAATATACTGCTCATCCTCAAATTGATTTACAAAGTCTAAGTAATCACTATCAACATCCCAGATGGATATTTTGCAGAAGTGGAGAAACTGATTCTAAAATTCGTATGGGGGCGCTTGGGTGGCTCAGTCGGTTAAGCGTCTGACTTCAGCTCAGGTCATGATCTCACGGTTTGTGGGCTCGAGCCCTGCATTGGGCTCTGCGCTGACAGCTAGCTCAGAGCCTGGAGCCTGCTTCAGATTCTGTGTCTCCCTCTCTCTCTGACCTCCCCTGCTCATGCTGTCTCTATCTCTCTCTCAAAAATAAATAAAATATAAAAATAAAATAAAATAAAATTCATATGGAGGGGCACCTGGGTGGCTCAGTTGATTAAGCATCCAACTTCGTCTTGGGTCATGATCTCACAACTCGTGGGTTCGAGCCCCGCGTTGGGCCCTGTGCTGTCAGATCAGAGCCTATTACCTGCTTCAGCTTCTGTGTCTCCCTCTTTCTCTCTGCCCTTCCCCTGCTTACACTCTCTCTCAAAAATAAACATTAAAAAATTTAAAAATAAAATAAAATTCGCATGGAAATGCAAAGGAGACAGAATAGCAAACACACTATTGAAAAAGAACATAGTTGGAAGACTCACACTTCCCAATTTCTAACTTACTACAAAGCTACAATTATCAAGTATTAAGTATAGCTTAATCAAGGCATAAGGATAAACATATAGACAAATGGAATACAACTGAGAGTTCAGAATTAAAACAAGAGTGCAATGACAATTCAAGGGGGAAAGAAAGGTCTTTACAACAAATGATGGTGGGGTAACCATATAACAAAATGTAAAAGGAAGAAGTTGGATACCTTTACACCATATATAAAAATGAACTAAGACATAAATGTAAGAGCTAAAAACATTAAAATATTAGAAGAGAGAACATAGGGGTAAGTCACGTTAACCTTGCATTAGACGATTGTTTTTTAGACATCAAAAGTACAAGCGACCAAAGAACAGAAAAACTGGAATCAGAATTTTTAAAGTTTTGTGCATCAAAGAACACCAGGAAGAAGGTAAAAAGGGGGCATCTGGCAGGTTCAGTCTGTAGAGCATGCAACTCTTGATGTTGGGGTCATGAATTTGAACCCCATGTTGGGTGTAGAGATTACTTAAAAGTTAAAAAAAGCAAAAAGGCAGTCCATAGGAGAAAATCTTTGTAAATCTCTATTGTGTCAGTATGTCATTTTTTGTGTATTATGTTTTTTATCTTAAAAAACTTTTCTGACTGGGGAGTGACTGCCTTCTCCCTGGTTAGCCCTTTTAGAGAAAGCAAAGGCCACAGCTAGGAGCATGCCTTTGATATGCAAACTAATCAATCCAGAGCCCTGCCTCCTACTTCTGGTCCTGTACCAAAGAGGCAATATTCCTCTATCTTAATTATCTTAGGGACAGGTAAGAGGACTAAGAGGACACTAGAGACCACACATATAGCTCAAAGATTACCAAAATTATTCAAACTAGCCAATACTGAACTATTTGTCCTGTCCTGCTTTGCTTTTCCCTCAGAAACCCCAATAAAGATTATGGCCTAAGCAGCCTTCCCCTGCCCCCTCACCACCCTGGCCTCCTGACCACCGTGGTCTCTCTGAGATGTGGCCGTGGGTGTGCAGTGCCTTTTGTCTCTAAGATGTTTGAAAATAATAAATTGTTTTCTTGAGCCTCTCTTGTGTCTCCTCTTGTGGTTGAACCTAAACTGACCTTTCCATAAAAGCATACAAAATCAAATCATATCTAATAAGGGTCTACTACACAGAATATATAAATAACCCAATTTTAAGATGGACAAAGTATTAGAAAACATTTTTCCCAAGAAGATATGCAAACGGCCAATGAGCACAAGAAAGAGAAATGCACATCAAAGCCACTAGGAGAGGTCACTTCATATCCCCTAGGATAGCTATAATCAAAGAGACAGATTAATATAGTATTGGTAAGGATGAAGAGAAATTTATGGGAAAAAAATCTGGAAAGTGAGGTGACTGCTGCTAGGATTGTAAAATGGTGCAGCTCTTTGGAAAACAGTTTGGCAGATCCTCAGAAAGCCAAATATAAAGACAGTATATGATTCAGCAATTCCACTCCTAGTTCCATAGCCAAGAGAACTGAAAACATGTGTCCACATAAAAAGTTGTACATAAATGTTTACACATTATTCATAGTCAAAAGGTGAAAAAACCCCAAATGTCCATCTACTGATGGACAAAAAATGTATATCCTTGTTACAGTGGATTATTTAGCCTTAAAACAGAATGAAGTTTGATTCACACTACAACACAGTTGAGCCTTAAAAACAGTATGCTAATTGAAAGAAGCCAGACACGAAGGGCTACATATTCAAGGATTCTATTCATATGAAAAGTTCAAAATAGGCAAGTCCCTAGAAACACAAAGTAGATTAGTGATTGCCAGTGGCTGGACAGGAGGGGAAATGAGGAGTGACTACTGATAAGTATAAAGTTTCTTTTTGGGTGATGAGAATGTTCAAAATGGATTATGGTGATGATTGCACAAATTTGTGAATATGCTAAAAACCACTGAGTTGTACACTTTAAAAAGGTGAACGGTATATGAATTATATCTCAATTTTCATAGTTTAAAAATTTGTTATTGCTCTTTTCTTTCCTTAATACCTTACCCCAATTTCTCTTTACCAAATTCTCTTTACTGTTACTTTTTTAAAACCTATATCAAAACTGAACTTTTTCAATGATAGTTTTAAAATTTGTTTATATATTTTTGAGAGAGAGAGAGGGAGAGAATGAGTGCAAGCAGGGAAGGTGTGGAGAGAGAATTCCAAGCAGGCTCCATGCTGTCAGTCCTGAGCCCCATGTGGGGCTCAATCCCACGAAACAGGAGACGATGGCCTGAGAAGAAATCAAGAGTTGGATGTTTAACTGACTGAGCCACCTAGGCAATCCTCAATGATACTTTTTTAAAAAGTAATTAACAGCCATCTTAACCCATTTTCCTTCTACCCATGTATCTTGCCTTACACTACAGTTTGTACAGAGGTCTATCTAAGAATTAGGTTGTAACTTATGGCCCCTTATATGCCCCTTGGTATTTACACAAAACTGTCCACTGAATTATAACTGCTATTTACAATTTTTCTTAGTTCTTTATACAATCATTCATCAAATCTGTATTAAATTTCTGCTTTGTGCCAGGGAAATTCACACAAAGATCAAATAAGGTTCTCATCCTCAAGAGAAGTTATAATCTAACATTTGCCCTTTTTTGGTATTTTAATTTTTACTTAGAACCCCCAGTATATTACAAAGCTCCTTCCTTTGTATTTCTCCTAACTACCTATTATAATAATGCTCAATATACTCAGTAAGTAATTACTCAGTACTGGGGGTAAACCAATGGGTGTTGCAATCATCCTGCTATACCACTAACTGAGCTCCTGAACACTTCTCTGAACTGCTAGCATTTAATTTTCCCAGCGATGCTTTAAGCTTCATTCACTCATTAACTGAACACCTCCTAATGTGAAGCTTCACTTTCTTGAATCATGATTAAATTACAATATTTAGACTTTCATAATTTTTTTTAAAAAAACCAAGGGCCAATAAAGATCTTTAGGGAGTTTTAGTAGACAAAACAAGTAGGCTATATATTTTATGCATATAAACATATAATCCCCTTTTAAAAAGTTGTTACAGGCAATACTCATCTATTCTCTGTGTGGAAAGCTTGGTATTTATAAATATAGACTAATACCAAATTATGTAAAATAAGATGCAAGTTACTCTTCTAGGCCAAAAGAGCTGAATTTTTAAAAAATATAGTTTTGATATACTACCAACTATAACTGTCCAATGGACTTAAAGGGCTTTGGAAGGCAGAATTTCAGCAACTTTTTTTTATTCAGCATTATTACACAGAATTAGAGACTGCTGTGATTTTTATTTAATTTGGGATCTTGATTAGAATAAGAACAGTGAGAATTATGCCTTACAGACATTCGTTATTACTACATCATTGTGATATGGCTTCATACTGATTGTATTAGAGAAAAAAATAACATTGGAATTAAGGCAATAGCCATATGTGCAAACCAAGCACAATACCCTGGCACAACCCTTAGTATAAAGCTCTTTTGGTTTGGTGATGGTTGATATTGCTGCATACAGATCAGCCACTGCTTTGAAGGATATGCTGTGAAGAGCTTCGTTTATTTAAAAATCCCTCCTACTGGCCCACAATGGCCAGCAGAAGCCTTCGGTAATCGCCACTTGTGTCACTTGCAATCATTGTGCTCAGGGTCTTCTGATACATCTGTTTGAACATCTGTTTTATTTGTACAAGATCAATCTGCATGCAAGAGATAATATTTTTGATGTTAGAAAAAAGCTGTTAAGAGAAAACTGGTATTTATTAGAATTGTTCTTTAATAGTGAAAAAAATATAATTACAATCAAAGCAGAGAGAAAAAAAAAACCAAGTGACATTTGACAGCTAGCATTTATACCACTGCTAGCATCACCGAGTGAAGAGCTAATTTACTGTTCTGTAATAATATTGAATAAGGGTGGTACAAGTCTCATCTATTATCCCAAAAATATTAAAAACCATTTAAAAAATAATAAAACCATTTGATAGGATGGTTATTATCAAAAACAGAAAATACCAAGTGTTGGCAAGGATGTAGAGAAATTGGAACCTTGTGCATTGCTGGTAGGAATGTAAAACAGTGCAGTGGATGTAGAAAAAGATATGGTGATTCCTCAAAAAGTAAAATAAAATAGAACTACCATATGATACAGCAGTTCCACTTTCAGGTATGTACACAAAAGTGAAAGCAAAGACTCAGCAAATATTTGTATACCAGTGTTCATAATAGCCAAAGGTGGAAGCCACCTGTTAACAGGTGACAGATGAATAAACAGAAGGTCGTGTGTACATACAATAGAATACTAGTCAGCCTTAAAAAGGGAAGAAGTTCTGACACATGCTACAACATGGATGAACCTTGAAAATGTTATGCTAATGTGAAAGCAGCCAGTCACAAATGGATAAATACTGTATGATTCCACTTGTACAAGGTACCTAGGGTAGTCAAACTCCTAGAAAGTGAAAATAGAATGGTGGTTGGTGGTTGGCAGGAGCTGGGGAGAAAGGAGGATGGTGAATTATTGTTTAATATGAGTGTGGATTTTCAGTTTTGCAAGGTGAAAAAGTTGTGGTGGTAATGGTTGTATAACAATGTGAATGTACGTAATGCCACTGGAATGTACACTTTAAAATGATTAAAATGGTAAGTTTTATGTTACATATATTTTATTACAATTTAAAGAAAAGATCACGCTTAAAAAATTTAGGTCTAAATACAAACACACACTTTTTTTAAAAAAGCCATAGAACGGTTGTCTTTTTAAAAATGATTTACCTTCTCTAGTATAATTTAGTGGCATGTGTTTTCTTTCAATTAAGAAAGAACTCTAATAAATATACAAAGTCGAAGAAAGGAAAACATTTGAGGTACATTTAGATAAAGAGATAAAGGTAAACTTAAAAGTTATTTTATAATTAAAAGCTATTTGTCAAGAATTTTATTATCCAATAGGATTAATCTTTTATATAATTTTTTACATTAGCAAAATGAAAACGAAAAGATAAACATTTTACAACTTGATATAAAACAGTATTCTACGCAGACCTTCTCAAGTAGGAAAAATTCTTGGCACTGGCTACACTGAGACACAGTGGTCTGTTTCACCAACTCAAGCCTCTCTCATGGCATGAGGAGAATGAAAGCTGTGCTTTATACAGCCTCTACCAGTAGTGACAAAGGAACTCTTTCTTTAACATTCCTGAGGGACTGACACCCTGCTGAGGAAAATTCAGGAAATTAACATTCAAAATCAAGGAAGATCAGACAAAAAAAAAAAAAAAAAAGCCTCACCTCACTTCGAGTGACCACAATCCTGACCAGGGTAGAGTCATCTGTGCCGGCACCTTTCATAGAATAGTAGAGCCTCTCAGCAAAGAAGGCAGAGCGGTTCAGGGCACACTGCACTGCAAGTTAGAGATACTTCACAAATGATGCCTTGACTAAGGTATCCATGCTCCAGCTTCATTTATAACTTCTAGCCTGCCTTTGATCATTTTCTCTATAATTATGTGAGAAATCTGAGGTGATGGTCTCCCTCTTGATTTTTCTCAGAATCCACCTATCTTTCTAGCCACATCAGATAGGCTACCCTCAATTTTAGAGGATTCCCTCTAGCCAATAAATCCCATCTTCTTTCTATAGATGCAGCAGCTTACACTCTACATTTTTTCCCTTCAAGGGAGAACATCTATAGCAGCTGTGCCCAATAATATCTTACTTAAAAAGGAATAATGACTGAACTCTGAATTCTACAAGTAAAATATTATCATTTGGCTGACAGAAGGATAGGAGATACATTCTGGTATGAAAAAGAAAACAGGTTTGAGGCAAGATCTGAGGATGAGAGTAAATCTGACACATTTTCTCTTAGGAAAATTAACTTAGCAAAGTCTTTTCCTGCAAATGGTAGAGCTATACTAACTGTACATTATTACTTTAGCTATAATTACTACAGCAATATATGTAAGACACTCAATTGCTAATACACGTGTGTTACTAACACTCTCTTTAGTCATACATTCTCCAGGAGAATTAAATTTCCATTTCATCGGATATCTCAAAGAACACTAGAAACTAGCTTTTTGATTTCAAAAGGGTAAAGCGTGTCTTTGGATTGAGTATTTGAAAGATGTTTCTGGGAGCTCAAAATGACACTTTGTGTGGTGTCACTTGTAGTTCCTTAGGGCTTTCCTATTCACTTTAACGGAACTGCTACATCTACTGTATATTCCTGCTTAATCCTCATGAAGGGCATACGGAATAAAGACCAACTAATTCCAAAACAACCCTATTTGATCACACCACCACCATTCATAAGGAATTGTATGTAAAACATAAGGATTAGCTCAGCCTCTGCCTAAGCAGATTCCCAGGTCACTCAATGGGAACAACTAGTCAAAGCCCCATTCATTTACAAACAAAACAAAACAAAACATAAAAGTATCTTACAGATGGTCTTCAAACCACTTTCGACATTTCCGGAAAATTCACGGGCAACACTACTTATCAAGTCACGATTAGCCACCTGCAAACAAAAAACACAGGGGCTAAAATATTTTCACAACTTAAAAACAGAAGCCCCAGCAATTGCACTACTAGGTATTTATCCAAGGGATAAACGTGTGCTGTTTCAATGGGACAATGTTGTTGTTGATAGTTGTTGGCTATCAACAACAGCCAAAGTATGGAAAGAGCCCAAAGGTCCACCGAGAGATGAATGGATGAAGAAGATGTGGTATATACATATAACAGAGTATTACTCAGCAATCAAAAAGAATGAAGTCTTACCATTTGCAACTACCTGGATAGAGGAAAGGGTATCATGCTAAGCGAAATTAGTCAGAGAATGACAAATATCATATGACTTTACTCATATGAGGACTTTAAGATACAAAACATGAACAGAAGGGAAGGGAAGCAAAAATAATATAAAAACAGGAGGGGGACAAAAACATAAGAGATTCTTAAATATGGAGAACAGAGGGTTTACTGGAGGGGTTGTGGGACGGGGGCATGGGCTAAATGGGTTAAGGGGCAGAAAGAAATCTACTCCTGAAATCACTGTTGCACTATATGCTAAATAACTTGGATGTAATTAAACACACACACACACACACAAGCCAAATCTTCAAAAGAAAAGCTCCTACCCTGGAATAAGCCTCCATGGTAGCTCTTAGCTGAGGAAAGCTTCTTGTGGCAAGAATCATGTTAAAGCAAGATTCATCTGTCCCCAGTCTCCCCTCACCAGCTTGATAGAGACGTTGAGCATCTTCCTGAGCCAACTGGTGGTTAACATTCTGGTTCTCATCACGATTTCCCTGCAAAAGAAAAAGGCAAGAACTGAAGATGTGATACAAATTCTATTAAAATCACCCCCCGCTCCGCCACTCCTTCCCCCGCCAAAAAAGAAAAACATCTCTACTAGGATATATAAACTACCACTCAAATGAAGAAATTCTAATTCTCCTTAGCTGGGATTTAAGATCAGTATGCATTATACTGAGTTCCACTTTGTATTCATTTATGCAGCTGAAAGGACTGGAGCACTTGTTTTGTGTGAGGCTGTATTAGGGTTCTCCAGACTAAGAGAACCAGTAGGATGCACAAGGTGGTAGAGACACAAGACAGACAAGGTCCCAGCCCTCAAAGAATTTATGTCAAGGGAGGGTGTATATAATATGGAGCTTCATGAACTTCCTTTCCTTTAGCCAAGTGAAATCTTAATATTTAAGCTTTATTATGAATGTATACATAAAAATGACACAAGAGCTTTTATGAAGAAGCTACAAATAACTCAAGTTCTGACAGACTGTGCCAATTTGTATACCAAAGTTTTCACTGGGATGGGAAGGAAGGAAGGAAGGAAGGAAGGAAGGAAGGAGAGAGGGGGGAGGGGGGGAAGGGAGAGGGTGGGGGGAAGAGGAGGGAGGGGGAGGGGGGAGAGACGGAGAGAGCTGTGGGCCTAAACAAGAGTAAAGCCTAGGTGGGCATTTGGTTTCTCTTAAAAACAGAAACGAACCCAAATGAAGGAAAGGCTTCCCTCTAGAGTCTTGATGTCAGTCTGAGGAACACAATGGAGAGGTGTTCCTTAAAGGTGAGAAATATTTTAAAGAGCAATGGACCCAAGAAATAAACAGAAGCATATTCTAAAATTTTTAAATGTTTTATTTATTTCTGAGAGAGAGAGAGAGGGAGAGAAGAGACAGCATGAGGAGGGGAGGTTCAGAGAGAGAGGGAGATACAGAATCTGAAACAGTCTCCAGGCTCTGAGCTGGCAGTCAGCACAGAGCCCAACGTGGGGCTCAAACCCATGAACTGTGAGATCATGACCTGAATTTAAGTCGGATGCTTAACTAAGCCACTCAGGCACCCCCAGTAGCATATTCTAAATGAGAGACTAAAGATAGAACACAAGAAAAGATGCTCAGGAAAAATTTCCCAGATGACTGACTCTGGATTCAAACACACAAAAACCCGTCTCATTTTCCTGAGAAGACATTCTTCTGCTCATTCCCTTCAATAGGTCTCTTTACTTCGTAAAACAGCAGAGCCTTGAGCTTGCTGCATAAAGAGACTTGGCACCTCATACCTTTTTTTTTTTTTTTTTTTTTAAGTAGGCTCCATGTCCAACATGGGGCTTAAACTCACAACCCTGAGATCAAGAGTCACATGGTCTACCAACTGAGCCAGCCAGGTACCCCTCATGTAAAGTCTTAATAATCATTTTTTAGCATTAAATCCCTGTTGTTCTTGCTATTGTTTTTCTTCTTGTTGTTTTAAAATTCTAATCTACTCTCCTACTTTGTTATTCCATTGTAGGTAAATTCAATTTCTTCCCACCCATTTGCTTTCTTTTCTCATTTCCACATTCACTCACTTTGGCATACTATGTTTTCTGCAACTATCTCCCTTTGCTCTGAAGAGCCTGACCTCTGCTTTCCTATCCCTCAAAACTATCCAATCTTGTATACTAGCAGGATAGCCAATAACTCTTGACACTGAATCAGTGTGCTGGTCTTTTCAAATAGACCTCATCATCTCATTCTAAGTGTGTTTATAGTATCATTCCAAATACACTATCTGAAAAATTTTCCGTCACTTCTCCAACACATTTGGGGAATCAGAATAAAGAAGGTGCTAATCACACTACTGAGAAATGTTTCTGCATCTCTGGCTCTTCTCACACAGTTTTCACCTCTTATAGCGCTTCCATGGCAGTCCTGCACGTCTTCAGTGGATGGCCCAATTTAACTGGCAATACAACGCTAAACTTGTAAGTATGAAATTCAGGGGCACCTGGGTGGCTCAGTCTTAAGCGTCTGCCTTCGGCTCAGGTCATGGTATCACAGTTTATGAGTTCAAGCCCCGCACTGGGCTTTCTTCTCTCAGTGCAGAGCCTGCTTCAGATCCTCTGTCCCCCTTTCTCACTGCCTCTTTCTCTCAAGAAAAAAAAAAAAAAGATTCATCCCCAGCCTAAGACAAAGAGCCAAGATGATTTCTGATTCCATATAACCTTAAAAGGTTAATTTCTAATCCCTTACAAAGCTAGATCTGCAGAAATAAATCTCAATAGTGAAGACAAAGAAATTTGAACACTGAAATCTGTGCTACCCCTTTTAAAGATGGCAAGATTCCATGTGGGCTAAATATTAAAAGGAATAAAGAATGCCACTGATAATACAAAGTGAAGAATGTTCCTTCATCAATATATATTCATACTATACTCACCTGGCACATGGATACAAGTAAACGTTCAAAATGTCCTGATGTATCTGATCTAATGTCCTTTTCAAGGTCTCGTCCAAATTCTGATTGATAACATCTGACAATTTCTCGGATTTCCTGATTTGTTCTTGTGCACAAAATTTCAATCAATACACGTTCCTGAGTTCCTGCTCCCTATGTTAAATGGAGAAAGTGACAATTATACAAAAGAAAAACAAAAATCACAGAAAATAATTAAATCTTATTAGTTCATTTTGGCCTCCAAACCTAAAAAGCTGTATTTATTCAGATGATAGGATACAATGTACTGATTTAGCTGTCACTGTAAACTGCCATTATTGGTGGGGTTTTACATTTACAATAAGATAAAATATATAAAGTAAATAACATAGTACCTTCATTGCATTCCGTAAACTCCAGGCATCATAATATGTAGGTGGCATGAATAGGGCAAGGATTAGTTCTTCCATATTTCCACTTAGCTCTGATTTGAGATCTTTGATTAAATCCTGTTTAATTACAAATACAAAGTATGTGTGCTCTCCAAATTTTGCTGCTTAAATTTTTTAAGAAATATTTGGAAAAGTGAAACTGAATTGCTTTATGAAGACCAAATTTCAAATTTGTACATACTAAGAAACAAGTAAATATATACATTTAACATTTATATTTTAAAGTAGATGTACTTTATTCACTCTCCCAAGAAACAGTAACAAATTCCTACTATAGTTCCACCACTATACCAGTTACAAAGACAGATACATGAAATTAAAAATCGCTCAAACAAAATGATAAGCAGATATTTACTTAGTATAAGAAACTTGTTCTGTGTGGAAATAGGAATCATCATTGTGTTCTTCTGTGGAAAGATAAGGTAAACCCCTAAAAAGTCATAATATAAGACAGACTGTACTTAAGTAGCACATAAATAAACAGTGGAAAAAAGCTGAAACAAGAGAAGTTAAAGTGGGCTAGAAAGCCCAGAGAAAGCTTCTAGTCCAGATCTTGAAAAGTATATAAAATTAGCAAGCAAAGAGGAAAGAGAAATATGTTTCAGGCAAGAAGGAGGAACACAAATGAGAAACATAAATATGGTTCCCAGGCTTGACTATACATTAAAATCATCTGTGGAATCTTTTGAAAAGAAAAAAGAAAAGAAGGGAGAGGGGAGAAGAAAAGAAAAACACATTGATGTCAAGGACAAATACTCAGAGGTTCTGCATGTGTTTTTAAGTATGAAAGGAAATTATGAAGCTCAGCTAAGGTTGGGAATCACCAGTATGAGGCAAGAACAAGCAAAGCCTTTTTAATGAACCAATGTGACAACCAATTTTGTTAGAGGGAAACGTTCTCATAGATTAGAGAGACAGAGTTGTAATGTTATACTTGGATCATTGCCTTGAACACAAACTAAAGGATGTGGATTTGATTCTGCATGCTGGGAGAAGCCACTGGAAACTTCGACACAAAAAAAATGACATTGAAATGGGAACCATAGGCAGTATGGACTACAATGACAAAGATACTATAGATAAGAACATTAGGGCTACTAGAATATTAAAGTAAGAATTCATTCAGGCTTGGACTTGAGTAGCAGATTTGAGATAGAAGATACATTTTTAAAAAGCCCTTTTACATATTAGATCAACAAGACAGAGTCAATAACCAGATGCTAGGACAAAGCAGTGCCTGGCATATAGTAGGCACTGAATAAGTATCCAATGACTGATAAAGAAGAAAGTGGAATCAAGGACAACTCCACAGCAAGCTAGAAGGATGATTTTTTTTAAATGTTTATTTTTGAGAGAGAGAGTGAGAGTGAGCACGGGGGAGGGGCAGAGAGGGAGGGAGACACAGAATCAGAAACAGGCTCTAGGCTCTGAGCCATCAGCGAAGCCCGACACCGGGCTCAAACCCATTAACCAAGAGACCATGATCTGACCCACAGTCAGATGCTTAACTGACTGAACCACCTATGAATATATTTTTATTAATTAATAGGAACCTCGGAGAAAAGATGGCTAGGAATAAAAAAATATACGCTGTGAATTTAGTTTTAATTCTAAACTGATATAGAAGAAAATTCAGGATAGCATAGGACAAGCTATCCATGAACTAAAGAAATTCATAATATGGAAAATACTTTTGTTAGAGAAGTGAGTCTGATGTTGAACCCTAAAGAAAATCTAGAGTTTATGTTGCTTAATTAGCTTTAAGGCATGTGGACCTGGGCCAAGGAGGGAGGGTAAGGCAGAGTAAAATAGGTCAAGTGGGACCAACCAACGAACTTCTATCCCATTCTGAGAAAAGTAAACTAGATCCAGAGAATGCTATGAAGTCTTAGGATTCCTATCTAAATGGCAAACCAATGCTACCTCGTCTTCCCCTTCATATCTAAGAAGTAGCAGCACTTTTTAGCCAAAGAATCTTGCTGATTTTGTTACTGATCATCCATTCAGCAAATATTTTTTAAGTGGCTATTTATTATCATTCCTGTATTTGGTGCTAAAAATGTACAAATGAGTTAAGACATGGTTAGCCTGGGGGAGCTCACTGTTTTGGGGACTGCACAGTGAGATCAGTTATAGCAGAGATTTTACAAAATGCTATTGCAGAAGCAGCTAAATTCTGCCCAGAGCAAGAAGAGAAACTTCACAGAGAAGTTGATCTAACCCAAATCCTGAAGAAGTTGTTTGCCATGAAGAAAAAGAAAAGGTGTTCTAGGCCAAGGGAACAACATATACCAAGCACAGAGGTATAAAAGATCATGATGTGTGCAGGGAATGGCAAGAAGTTCCACACGGGCATAATACAGGATATACTCAGAGGGAGAGAGAGAAGTGGAAGATGATGACAAACACCAAGAATAAGCAGGGGCTATATAAGTCCTTGAATCCCACCGTAAAGAGAAGACAGACTGAGAACCAAACTATTTATTATACTATTTATCTATTTTATATATAAAATTATCTATTATCAGTTATAATACTGTGGTCATAATCTGTTTTCTACTGAGCATCTATCACATATCAGACATAGTATGAGGTATGATTATGAGATGAATGACTACTCCAGAATTAGAAAGTCTTTTAAGAGAAATACATAGCAAACACACCATTCCTGGGGTCTCTGGAGTCTGTCTCTACTTTATATCACCAGTACTAATAAAAAGATAGTATCCAACCTCACATAAAGGCAGAGTCTACAAGGCCACTGCCAGAAAAAAAAATATAAATACCTTGCCATACATGGTCTTAAAAGCTGCTTTAATTTTTTGCCTCTGATCATTGGAACGGTTGGCCACAACACTCACAATCGCCTGCTCGTCTGTCCCTGGAAGAACCATATATGTTTAAGTAAGGATGAAGTCTGTGCTGGGTACCCCTTGAGGACATCTCTTGGTTGCTTTACAAGGTGACTGGTGCCAGATTAAATTAAGGTATGTGCACAGGTGGACATATAAACTTGATTAATAATATAAAGTTTATTTTTACTTTAGATTCAATCACTAAAAATTATAAATAAGATAAAAACCTGTTTTCCTTACCAAAACCCTTCATCGCTTTCCGAAGAATTTCTGCATCTCTCATGGCATCAAAGTTGGCAGCTGGTTGGATTGTACCTTGAGTTCCCTGAGTCACTGAGGCAGGCTGAAACGAGAAGCATAAATTCTAAGTCAGTTACTGTGGTAATCCTTTCGTAATATAAAAATACATCAAATTATCATGTTGTACACCTAAAACTAATACAATATTATATGTCACTTATACCTCAATAAAACTGCCGGGGTGGGTGGGTGGGAGGGGTGAATGTAAAAATGTTCAACTTCTTTAGTGAAAGAAATATAAATTTTTTAAAATGCCATCAGGATTCTCTGCTGACAAGAAGACAACTTAAGACTTCCCCAGTTATCACTCTTAGGCAAGGAGGCCATGTTTAAGTTTTAGGATAAAGGATATGAGCATTTTATTTTCAGGACTCATTCTCAAACAAGCAAGAAAGACCTATCCCCTTCCTGTCAAAAGACCGCTAACTCCAAACTTTCAGGGGACAAAAAGTTAAGCTTGTGATATCAGTCAATCTTCCTATTCCTCAATCTCTTTCCCAGTAGAATAGGAGGGAAAAAAGATATTGATCCCTGGATAGTGTGAGATGAACAGCAGTGTCTGACTTAAAGACAATAATACAGGGGAGGCTGGATGGCTCAGTCAGTTGGGCATCTGACTTCAGCTCAGGTCATGATCTCATAGTTTGTGAGTTTGATTCCCGCATTGGGCTCTGTGCTGACAGCTTGGAGCCTGAAGCCTGCTTCAGATTCTGTGTCTCCCTCCCTCTCTAACCCTACCCTGTTTGAGCTCTGTCTTTCTCTCTCTCAAAAATAAATAACAAGCATTAAAAAAAATTTTCTTTTAAAGAGCACATGCACAATAACTACAGTTAACATCACACTTCAAAGAGACTGGATGGTTTCTCTCTTAGATTGGTAACAAGGGAAAAATTCCAAACTCACCACTCTTATTCAAAATAAATAGACAGATAAATAAGTAAATACAATAATATAATAAGGGCTTTAGTTAGGTGGACCTTGAATTGCCCAATGAGGTTTCAAATAACCAATATAATTTTGGCAATATGTTTCCACAGGCCTTCATTATCAAACATGAAATAGAGACGCCTGGGTGGCTCAGTCAGTTAAGTGTCCAACTTCAGCAAAGGTCATGATCTCACAGATCAGGAGTTCAAGTCTCACGTTGGGCTCTCTACTGTCAGCACAGAGCCTGCTTTGGATCCTCTGTCCACTCCCCTCTCTGCCCCTCCGCTGCTCATGCTCTTTCTCTTTCAAAAATAAACAATGAAAAACATGAAATAAAACATTTTGTAATAAGAAAAGCACAAAACGAAAACAAGCAATGACTAGAAATTCTGGGTGGTAGAACATTCTTCATTGATTATATAGGAAAGAAACCAGAAAGCACAACAGGGACTATAGTTTAAAAATACAAATTGGGGTACCTAGTTGAGTGTCCGCCTTTATTTAGGTTCAGGTCAGGATCTAATGGTTTTGGGGGTTTGAGCCCTTATTGAGCTCTGCACTGATGGCGTGGAGACTGCTTAGGATTCTCTCTCTCCCTCTTTCCCTCCCTCTCTGCCTCGCCCAACTCATGTTTTCTCTCTCTAAATAAACTTAAGAAATTTTTTTAAATAAAAAAAATAAAACAAATCTATGGGGAAATTTAAAAATCACTATAACAAATACATAGTAATAATGGTTTCCAGAGAGAATCATCAATGGATGCTAAAATTGGTGAGTAAAAGTACAATGAAAACCCAGATACTTACATAGTTTGTACCTAGCAGACACAAGTGATCAAAATTAATCATTGCCAATAACAGAATAAGTCAACAGTAAGTGCCTCCTGATATAATAATGCACTGGGGATCCAAGATCATTTCTGTGGTACTCCTAATCAAAATGGCCAAACATGAATTTAATCATGAGGAAATAAATATCAGACAAACCCAAACTAAGGAATTTTCTGCAAGATAACTGGTAGTACCCTTTAAAAGCGTCAAGGTCTGGGGCGCCTGGGTGGCTTAGTCGGTTAAGGGTCCAACTTTCACTTGGGTCATGATCTCGCGGTTCGTGGGTTCGAGCCCCGCGTCGGGCTCTGTGCTGACTGCCGGCTCAGAGCCTGGAGCCTGTTTCAGAGTCTGTGTCTCCCTCTCTCTCTGACCCTCCCCTGCTCACGCTGTCTCTCTCTCTCTCTCCTAGAAATAAATAAAACATTAAAAAAAAAAAAAAAAAGCGTCAAGGTCATAAACAAAAAAGACAGAAGAATTGTATCAAATTAAAGGCAACTTAAGAAGGATGCCTGGCTGACTTAGTCAGTAGACCATGTGATTCTTGATCTCAAAGTTGTAAGTTCGAGCTCCACAGTGGGCAGAGATTAATAAAACAAATGAAATGAAATTGAAATTAATATTAAAAAAACAAGAAAACTTAAGAGACAGGACAATGAATGCAGTGTTTCATCCTGGATTTGATCCTGAACCAGAAAAAGACATTACTGAGACAAATGATAAAATTTGAATAAGATGTATAGTTCGGGTAATAGTCTTATATCAATGTTATTTACTGCTTTTGATCATTTTGTTGTGTTTATATGAGAAGTTAACACTGGAGGATCTGGGTAAAGGGTATTCAGGAATTCTATAACTTTTATACCTTTTTTTAAGTCTGAAATTATTACAAAATTTTAAGAAAATTTTAACGCAGCTAGGAAACAGTAAGTTTTCTTTTTTCTTTTAATGTTTATTTATTTTGAAAGAGAGAGACAGAGAGAGAATCCCAAGCAGGTTCTGTGCTGCAACTCAGAGCCTAATGTGGAGCTCAAAATCACAAATCATGACATGGCCTGAGCCACAATCAAGAGTTAGACACTTAACTATTGAGCCACCCAGTCACCCCTTCAATAGTTTTCTTAAACTATTCAAATCAGGGCTTAAGAGAGATGGGATGAAGTAAGATGATATCCCACTACATTTTTTAAACTGAATTTTAATAATATATTTTATTTAACCCATTATCTCTAAAATAGCATTTCTTTTTTTTTTTTTTTTTTTTTAAATGTTTTATTTATTTCTAGGAGAGAGAGAGAGAGACAGCATGACCAGGGGAGGGTCAGAGAGAGTGGGAGACACAGAAACTGAAACAGGCTCCAGGCTCTGAGCTGGCAGTCAGCACAGAGCCTGATGCGGGGCTCGAACCCACGAACCGCGAGATCATGACCTAAGTGAAAGTCGGACGCTTAACCGACTAAGCCACCCAGGCGCCCCTAAAATAGCATTTCAAGATGCATCTAACACCATTCCAAAATATAAAATGATTCAATTGCTTTTTAGGCAACTGAAACTGCATTTAAAAGTTATTTACACCCATTGAGGGGCGCCTGAGTGGCTTAGTCGGTTAAGCGTCCGACTTTCGCTTAGGTCATGATCTCGCGGTTCGTGGGATCGAGCCCCGCGTCGGGCTCTGTGCTGACTGCCAGCTCAGAGCCTGGAGCCTGTTTCGGTCTGTGACTCTCTCTCTCTCTCTGACCCTCCCCTGCTCACGCTGTCTCTCTCTCTCTCTCTCTCCTAGAAATAAATAAAAACATTAAAAAATTAAAAAAAAATAAAAAGTTATTTACACTCATTGAATACTGCAATATGCCAGAAACTGTGGAGTAAAGTAAATGAGGAGAAGAGGACCAGACCATCTTTTAGGCCTAAACATTTTTGGGGTCAATAATTTCTCCCACTTACCAATACTCTCACACCAATGTTTTCTTCTTTCTAACAACCATCCTACACTGGTTCCACCATCCTGCACTATGAAGCTTCTAAGCCAAGAATGTAAGCAGAGAACTAACAAATGACAAATATTTGTATAGTGGCTTTAAGAAAAAAATGAATTCTACTTGTAGCAAATACACAAATATAAATCTTTTTTCAACGTAAGCCTTTACATGAACCTGATGGTATTGTGAAACTAAGGTTTCCTTTGATATAACCACCTTCATTAAAACTCTAAGTAGGGCAAAAGCCTTTGTTTACAATACACTGGACTAGACAGTAAGAGAAACTAATCTTCAAATCTATGATTTGATGATCCTCATTTTCTGTCATCTTTTTTTTTTAATGTTTATTTATTATTGAGACAGAGAGAAACTCAGCATGAATGGGGGAGGGGCAGAGAGAGAGAGAGAGAGAGAGGGAGACACAGAATCTGAAGCAGGCTCCGGGCTCTGATATGTCAGCACAGAGCCCAATGCGGGGCTCGAACCCACGAACTGTGAGATCATGACCTGAGCCGAAGTCAGACACTCAACTGACTGAGCCACCCGGGCACCCGTCATCCTCTTCTTTCTTAAAAACAAAAACTACTCCATTTTTCATCTTTAGGAAAAATGGATTTGTTTTATTCTTTGTTGAAAGTCTAAGTTGGAAGTGAATCTTCATCAAAAATACTGTCATCCTCCAGGCACTATATTGAATTAAAAGAAATCAGAGTCCATGTTCAAGAGGTCAAAACTCAAACTAGGGAAGATTTCTTAGCACAACCCATTTGATAGCATTTGATAACAACCTCCCTACTAAAAAACAAAATTCTATCAATCAGGAGAATCACCTGGCCCAGCTGCCCAACCAAGCCAAAAATTTCCATCTTCCTACACACATACACATACACACACACACACACACACACACACCCACCCACCCCACACACACACACACCATCTACCAGAGGACTTTTGGTGATAGGGAGCTCATTCCTCATAGGGAGCCTGTTCCATTCCCATCTAAAAGATTTTCCAAAATTTACCACTCTGTTAACTTCCACTTACTGGTTCTATCTTAAGGTAGTGATTGTTACACATAAGTTGCATATGTAGGTTTCATTTTTGTGTTTTATGTTTGAAAATCTTTTTTTTTTTTTTTAACGTTTTAATTATTTCTGAGACAGAGACAGCATGAGCAGAGGAGGGTTAGGGAGAGGGAGACACAGAATCTCAAACAGGCTCCAGGCTCTGAGCTAGCTGTCAGCACAGAGCCTGACGCGGGGCTCAAACTCATGAACTGTGAGATCATGACCTGAGCCGAAGTTGGATGCTTAACAGACTGAGCCACCCAGGCACCCCAAAAATCTTTCTTTATACTTAGTCATAAAATCTATGTCTCTCAAACTACATGCATACTTAAGTTAAAATAAAATCAAAATTCTCATACATGATTAAAATAGCTACAGATACATAATATGATTAACAATCAACTTCAACAATTAAAAAAGAAGGATTGAAAGCAATTCCCTATGTGCTTTGGAGGAATATCATTTATAGTACCAGCAAAGCAGCATTATGTCAAAGGGAGACCACTGGTCTGGGAGTCAGAAGAGCTAGTTCTAGTCTCAGCTTAGTCTTTTACTAGGTGTGTGGCCTTGGACAAATTTCTTAATATCTCTGGAGCTCAAATTCCTCAAATCAAGAAAGTAAGCCAGAAAATAGCTAAAGTGTTTTTCTTTCAATACTTTAATCCCTCTCCCATTTCAGCTGAAAATAAGCTTGATACGGGGCGCCTGGATGGCTCAGTCGGTTAAGCATCCAACTTCGGCTCAGGTCATGATCTCACAGTTCATGGGTTCAAGCCCCACGTCCGGCTCTGTGCTGACAGCTAGCTCAGAGCCTGGAGCCTGCTTTGGATTCTCTCTCTCTCTCTCTCTCTCTCAGAAAGAAATAAAACAAAAACATTAAAAAAAAAAAGCTTGATAATGCTAGATTTTTATAATTAAAGAGTATGGAAATAAATAAGAAAATCAAGATAAAGATAAGCATAAAAGTATACTGCTTGCGTTCCTTGTAACTTGTATAAGATGTAAATTAAAAAAAACACTTAATATTAAAATAAGGGGCTATACAGAGATGAGGCAAAGACTTCATACATGGGAGACGTAGGGCTATTGAAAAATCAATTCAACATATATTAATTGACTACTATGGTCAGAGCCCTGCCAAGCACAACAGGGACATAATGATGCGACAGATACAGTTGAGGGGCACCTGGGTGGCTCAGTCGGTTAGGTGTTCGACTTCTGCTCAGGTCATGATCTCAGGGTTCGTGGCTTTGACCCCTGTGTCGGGCTCTGTGCTTACAGCTAGCTCAGAGCCTGGAGCCTGTTTCAGAGTCTGTGTCTCCCTCTCTCTCTGAGCCTCCCCTGCTCACGCTGTCTCTCTCTCTCAGAAATAAACTAAAAAAAAAAAAAAAAAACTTAAAAAAAAAAAAGATATAGTTGAATCCTTTAAGGAAGATGTGAAAGATCAATACATGAGAAATTAGAAAGTAAAGAAGGCACATACAGGGGACACACAGGCACATATAGTAATTAGTAAACATTAGAAAACCTTACTCACTTCAGTGTTATAATCCAAAGAAATAGAGAAAACAGGATAGGAAGGAAAGGATTCTGTACTGATCTGAAAAAAGAGTGGAAAGTTATAAAGGTAAAAATAGAAGTCAAAACCACACTTTATCAAACACCGCCAAAAATAACAATTACTCAGTTACCCAGGTTCATAGTTGTAACCATCAGTGAGTGAAGAAGAATTAAAACCAATGCCAAGAACCCAAGTGAATCTCTATGAAGAAGTTATGAGTATTATCACCTGTGAGAAGGGACCTATGCTTGTCTTATTAAAGTAATCAGGATACCACTTAAAGCAGATGGACCAAAGAGAGGATCAAGTCTATCAGAAGCAAAGAGCAGAATCTTAAGTGACTTTAATAAACCATATACCCCACTTCATGGAAACCTCTAATGTCAGCAAAGGAGTTGTACCCTTCTTTGGCATTATCTAATTAAACTGGACTAAATTTAAAAACAGGAGCAGAAATACCTGACTTGGGTAAGGACTTTGTCCTCCAGGATACTGAGAAGGCATCTGTCCTCCAGGAAAGCCACCTACATGTTTAAAAAAAAAAAAAAAAAAAAGTACAGTAAACAGATTTTATAGGATTTAACTTTTCAAAGCAGCTTTGACAATTACGAATCTGGAAACATAGGAGAACATTCACACCATGTTTATTCAATAGGATAATTTTTAATATTATAATTCACTGATCTAAAACCAACTTTGGTCACAAGAACCTTTTAAAATATTCCATGTCCGGGGCGCCTGGGTGGCTTGGTCGGTTGAGCGTCTGACTTTCGCTCAGGTCATGATCTTGCATTTCGTGGGTTCGAGCCCCGCGTTGGGCTCTGTGCTGACAGCCAGCTCAGAGCTTGGAGCCTGTTTCAGAGTCTGTGGCTCCCTCCCTCTCTGACCCTCCCCTGCTCACGCTGTCTCTCTCTTTCTCTCCTAGAAATAAATACAACATTAAAAAAAATTTAAAAAAATAAAAATAAAAATAAAATAAAATAAATATTCCATGTCCTACAGTTTCCTAACAAATAATACTTTTTTTTTTTTTTTTTTAACACTTGATCCAAACTAAATTCTGATTCCCTGTGGAAAGGATGCCAGGACATAGTTCTGAGGGTTTAGGAATGGTATAGGAGTGAGCACGGATGCGCCTGAAGGTTTTGGGTTTTTTTGGCTTTGTAATACTTTTTTTGTAATTGAAAAAGTGGGTCCTTATTTCCATCTTACTGATTAAACTTTTGCATCAAATTAATGCATTTCATGAAACCATGTATTTTTTTTAATATTTTATTTATTTCTAGGAGACAGAGAGAGAGACAGTGTGAGCAGGGGAGGGTCAGAGAGAGAGAGAGATACAGACTTTGAAATAGGCTCCAGGCTCTGAGCTGGCAGTCAGCACAGAGCCCGACGCGGGGCTCGAACCCATGAACCGCNGTGAGCAGGGGAGGGTCAGAGAGAGAGAGAGATACAGACTTTGAAATAGGCTCCAGGCTCTGAGCTGGCAGTCAGCACAGAGCCCGACGCGGGGCTCGAACCCATGAACCGCGAGATCATGACCTAAGCGAAAGTCGGACGCTCAACTGACTAAGCCACCCAGGCGCCCCATGAAACCATGTATTTTAAATTATTTTTCTCTCTCTGCCCCATTCGTCTGTTCATGCACACTCTCTAAAACTAAAAGAATATATATTTATAAAAGTACTTAGTATAAAGTTTACTGAAGACTATCACAAACATAACTAAGTTCTCTCAGGGGCAACTGAAAAATTTTAAGTAGCACACTACTGTTCTTCTCTGGTACCTACCAGGTAGTGGGACCTGTGCTGGGCCACCACCATAAGGCTGTGAGGGTGGCTGTGGATAGCCAGAGAAGCCTGCTCCACCTGGGGGGGCTCCAAATCCTTGGCCTGGAGGAACTAGAAAAAAAGAATAAATACAGTGACAGCTCTCATGATTAAAGAGTAAACTTCAGGAAAATATCTACTAAGAAAAGTGGAAAAAATATACAATTAATGCTGTAATAGCAGTCTCTTTTGGTCTAAATTCAACTTATCAACTCTCTGTTATGAAATCAATTAAAAAAGTTTTACTTCATTCACCTGCCTAACTTATAATAACAAAAGTGCTAAGATTTATGGCCTTTGGACAAAGCTGTCCTAAAGGCCACAATTATGCTAAGTGAAATATCATGATCAATTCTTATGATTACAAATAAGTAAACTGTTATGTATTGGTCCTTTACTACCATGAGATTTATTCTAATTCTTTTCACAACAGAATTTTTGAGAATGTTCCCAGCTTTCATGCCCCCAAGAACCTTTATCCCTCTATCTTGCCAGCTAGATTTATGGTCTTTGGTAGAGAACAGGCTAAGAGCATCTCTGACCTCATACAAAACAAGCAAGAATGAAAAGGATAAAAGACAGAGAGAGACAGAGAGAGAAAGAAAAATGATACAGCAATCCCAAATCATCACTAATGCCACAATCCATTACTCACCTCCAGGATAGGATGGAGCTCCCCCTGGTGGTGGGGCACCAGGATAGCCTCCAGGGGCCGGATATCCTGCAGGGGCAGGGTAGCCTCCCGCCCCAGGATAGCCACTACTTGGGGCTGGTGGGTAGGCACCTCCTCCCACTGGAGGAAAGCCAGTAGGATAAGGATACTGACCCGGAGGGGGAAAAGTTGACTCCTGACCTGCAGGCTAAAAAACCAGAAAATTTTTCATATGAATGTAATCACAGAGAAACATGACCCACCAAACAAATAGAGGTAACTGTTAAGGCCTAAATTTTCTTTTATACAGTACAAGTCCCATTAAAAGTCTTGGTATCTTTTACTAGTTTACCTGTACACTAGTTTGTCAAGACACCTGTTTTTCAGAACTCAGTTACATTTAATTCTACCTGTGTCAGACAAGAGGGGTCTGCTTCTCTATTTGGGACTGAGAACCAGACTCTTCAGAAACCTCAAAGCTTCAGGAAAAACTATCAAAGCTCATTAGTTCCTTCATTTTCCTAGCACCTGGAAATATTAGAAAGACACAGTTCTCTACCCTAAAGAGAAGAATTTATGACTCTCTTTCAACACACCTGAACCTGTTGCATAACAGGAACAAAAGAGTGACCTGAGTCAACACAGGGTGTGACATTTGGAGCCTAGTTCAGACTAGACAATGTCTAAGAGTGGCAGAGACTGCTACATGTTCACTAAACTTTCTCACCTGGACACAAAGCTAGACTACCTTTCCCAGACCCCTTTGCAGTTAAGTAGGACCATATGACTGAATACTGGTGAATGAAGAGAGACAGAAGTGATGTACACCACTTCCAATCTGGCCCCTAAAAACCTCCTGCCCAATCCTCTACACTCTCTTCCTCTTTTCCTTCATCTGCCAGCTGGAAGCTGAGAATCTAGTGGAGGAATCCAAGGTACTAGAGAATGACAAAGCCAATATGTGGAAGGAGCCTGGTAACCTGAAAGACTACATGGAACAAAATCTCCTTGATACCCCACTCACCTCCTCAGCCTCCCGCCCCCTGCCACCGACTTCTAGGAGACTAAAGTAAGCAAGAAAAGAGTTTTTATTGTGTTATGTCACTCAGATGTTGGGGTTGTCTGTTTCAGAAATTAGTCTATAATGACTGAAATGGTAGCTAGAGTCCAGTTTAGTATATAGGGGCCTAGGAACATATTCATAATTCTCTTCTCTCCTATGATAAATTCAGGACAGCTATATATTCATTTTACATAAGGGTACACACATTATCATTAATCTGCATAGACCTCTTTCTATTCTCCCATTGTTAGAAAGAAGCCTTATACACTTATGAATATAAAATTGAAATGCGTAATTCTTACTTAAATACCTCAGCTAGGAGTTTAGTCCTCACAGTAGAGACATCAACAAGGCAGAACTTAGTAGCACATTTATAAAATGTACTCCAAATACTAGAAGTTATCAGAACTACTAAAGCAGAGGCCTCTAATCCACTGCAATTTGTTATCTCTGAGTCAAGCCCTTCTTAATTATTTTAAACCTTCTAATACAAAGGTTAAAAACCAGTGACTCATCGGATGATTTTAGCTTACATACATGTTTTATTGGTCATAAAACATTTAACAAAAAATTAATTTCCCAATTTAAAAAGTTGGGGCAATTCACATCAAATCCATGTTTCTGGCTTTACTTGAAGAAATGGAATATCTAGCAACATTAAGTTTGCATCACAGCACGGCCACATCGGGCTGAAGCTGAATAGCTGCTGGCTTTCCATACACAAGGCAAGTGCCCTCTCCTTCCTTCCCAACTTCTGACTTCACACACTTATTCTACTCAGTACCTCTGCGCAACTGAGTTTATGACCCCTGTTCTAACACATGTGTAAAATCTGTCATGTACTAGTCCTATATACCTGTTCCAAGTACATGAGTTATTTTACTATTATAAGTGGCAATACTTGGGGCGCCTGGGTGGCTCAGTCGGTTAAGCGTCCGACTTCTGCTCAGGTCATGATCTCACAGTTTGTGGGTTCGAGCCCCGTGTCAGGCTCTGCGCTGACAGCTCAGAGTCTGGAGCCTGTCTTCAGATTCCGTGTCTCCCTCTCTCTCTGACCCTCCCCTGCTCATGCTGTCTCTCTTTCTCTCAAAAATAAAAAAAACATTAAAAAAAAAAAAAAAAAAGTGGCAATACTTACAGGATATCCAGGGAAAGGTGGGTAGCCTGTTGGGGGGTAGCCTGGGTATGACATTCTGTAACAATAAAAAATGTCCTCTGTAATTTTTTTTTACAAAGGTTAAGTCCTTAAAAGATACATATTGGGGCGCCTGGGTGGTTTAGTTGGTTAAGCGTCCGACTTTCGCTTAGGTCATGATCTCACAGTTCGTGGGTTCGAGCCCCGCGTCGGGCTCTGTGCTGACTGCCAGCTCAGAGCCTGGAGCCTGTTTCAGTCTGTGACTCCCTCTCTCTCTGACCCTCCCCTGCTCACACTGTCTCTCTCTCTCTGTCTCCTAGAAATAAATAAAACATTAAAAAAAATATTAAAAAAAAAAAGATACATATCATCAAGGGTTTTATACAAAATCTATCTTCTTTCAAAAAGAGTCTGTCAGGCATTCAACATGTGAATATGAGAGGTATAAGCAAAGTTTATAAAGTACTTCTTCATTTCCCCGTTCATAACAATGGAGTCAGTATAGCACAGTAAATGTTACAACTTCATTCTCCCCATACAATTTTTGTTATGTCTTAATCCTACCAGTACTATTATTTATGGAATATCTTTAAGCCAATTAATTTTTCACTTAAATCTATTTTATACCACTTCCATATGTGGAAAACTTGCAATAGTTTCTTGTCACAAAGAGAAGGTAACATTAAAATGTTAAGACTAAAATAAATGTTTTCCAAATGCCACAGAAATCCCCTTACTTGGTGATGTAACATTATGGGAAACAATGGTTAAGAGTTAACATTCTGTAGTCACATACACCTTTTTATAAACTTTTCATTAAGTTTCAAACTTAAAAGAGTAGAAGAAACCCCAAAGACTCAATGCTCAGCTCTAGTAATTACAAACTTACAGCCAATTTTGTTTTTTTAATCCACTCATTCATTCCCCACCACTCCACTGGATTATTCTGAAGTAAATCCCAGACATTTGGCTCAGGTCATGATCTCATAGTTCGTAAGTTCGAGCCAAGCATTGGGCTATGCTGACAGCTCAGAGCCTGGAGCCTGCTTCAGATTCTGTGTCTCCCTCTCTCTCTGTCCCTCCCCCGCTATCTCTTTCTCTCTCTCAAAAATAAATAAACATTAAAAAAAATTTTTTACAGACCATTCATGTGAAACAAATGCAGCCAATGTGAACCCAAACCCCACAAATATATACATATATATGTCCAGTGTAAGTGCCTTCTGCAATTAAAGAAAACACTACTAACGTAAAAGAAGTGCAAATAAAACACAGGGGAAAACAAATATTCAAAACAATACCATTTCATAGCCTGACCATATCTAAAAAACTGGGGCATGTGGGTGGCTTAACCATAAGCATCTGACTCTTGCTTTCAGCTCAGGTCATGTTCCCACAGTCTGTGGGATTGAGCCCCATTTCGGGCTCTGTGCTGACAGTGAGGAAGGTGCTTGGGATTCTCTTTCCCTCCCCCTCTCTCTCTCTGCCACTCCCCCACTCATGTACACGCATTAGCTTTCTTTCTCTCAATAAATAAACTTGAAAAGAAAAAAAAAGATTCATTCATGTTGTCACAAATGGCAAGATTTCCTTCCTAAAAAAATATTTAGGGGTGCCTGGATGGCTCAGTCATCTAAGAGTCTGACTCTTGGTTTCAGCTCAGGTCATGATCTCAGGGTTCTTGAGTTCAGGCCCCACGCTGGGCTCTGTGGTGACAGACAGCTCAAAGCCTGCTTGGGATTTTCTGTCTTCCCCCCAACCCTCCCCCACTTGTGTTCTTCCCCTCTCTCTCTCTCAAAATAAATAAACGTTTAAAAATATATATCTAAAAAATTATTGGTGATCAAATATAATAATATGCCTGGCAAGTGTATCTATATAAAGACAAATAATCATTTATTTAGCATCTACCATAAAACACTGTACTAAGATTGGAGACTAACAGAAATATCAAAAGTTTAACCTAAGTTTTAAAAGGTGATGGATACATTAGTAGGGAAGCTGAACAACAATGTCATATGCAAGGCAAAAGATAGTATATAATTTTAAGATAGACAATCATCAAAACACAGTGAAAAGTAGATTAAGATAGAAGCCAGTTAAGAGGCCTTCAGCATAGGTATGGAATTAAATATTCATCATTCCCCATCAGATCAATCTTAATATCCCATATCTAACCAAGAATACATCTTAACTATAGAGAACAAACTGATGGTTACTGGAGAGGAGCTGGGTGAATGGATGAGTTAAACAGGTGATGGGTATTGAGGAGGGTACTTGCTGTGATGAACACTGGGTGTTGTGATGAATCTCTAAATTCTACACCTGAAACTCCTATTGCATTGTACATTGATTAGCTGGAATTTAAATAAAAAGTTGGGGAAAAAAAATCCCATAACTGTTATTAGTACCACTGCTTAAATTACCTATTACTAAGTACAATAAGTAACCCAATACTTCTTTTTTTTTTTCCTTCGCAATGCCTCTCCTATTCTTCCTGTCATTTCTATTCTCAAGGCCACATCCTTAGACCAGATTTTCACCATTTGATGCCTATTTTAGTAAAATTACTTTTCTATTTACGTCTTGCATATACTCTCACACTTATAATTTTCCTGGGTACCATCACTAGATGAATTTTCCTAAAATGCTCCTCTTTCAGCATGTGACTTGAGGTCAAACCTCTTCAGAGACTAATGCTGTAATATCAAATGAAAATTTATAGACCAGAAAATCAGGTCTCCTCAGTACTGGCTCTATCTACTCATTTATCTCCTAACAGTACCTAACCTCCAATGAGAAATATCTACCACTTAAATCATTCCCAATGTGCCTCTGCTTTAACCCACTGTTATTAAATGACTTGGCCCTCATGCCTGGGTCACTCACCTTTCCTGACTTATCCAGCTCAAATCTTCTCTCTCCTTTTTCTTGTTTAAATGTGTATTTATTTTTGAAACAGAGTACGAGTTGGGAAGGGTCAGAGAGAGGGAGACACAGAATCTGAAGCAGGCTCCAGGCTCTGAGCTAGCCGTCAGCACAGAGCCCGATGCGGGGCTCAAACCCATGAAGCGTGAGATCATGACCTGAGCCGAAGTCAGACGCTCAACTGACTGAGCCACCCAGGTGCCCCTTCTCTCTCCCTTCTTTGAACAATGTGCAAGATAAGTACTTCTTAAACTTTAATATGTATGTAAATGACCTGAGGGTCTTGTTAAAATGCAGACTCTGTTTCAGTAGTTCTGAGATGAGGCATGAGATTCTGCATTTCTAACTAGGCTTCCAGGTGATACTGATACTGCTGGTCTCTGAATCATATGTTAGTACGAGAATATTTTAGTAGTTCTGGATCCTCCATCTAATTTGCACATTTTTCAATGTGCCTTGGCTCTTCTCCCCACTGTGGCTGTAAATGATTATGTATTTCTTTTACATCAAGACCCCAAACAAATCCAATTCATCATAATAAAAGCCCATTATGTAGTAAGTACTGTCCTAGGTGCTGATAGAAAGGGTAAGGGAGAAAAGTATCCTGCCTTTTGTGTACACAGTATCCTGGGGCACCCGGGTGGCTCAGCTGTTTGAGTGGCCGACTTTGGCTCAGGTCATGATTTCACTGTTCGTGAGTTCAAGCCCTGAATTGGGCTCACTGCTGTCGGCTCAGAGCCCGCTTCATATCCTCTGTACGACACCCCCCTTGCTACTTATATGCTCTCTCTAAAATAAACATTAAAAAAAAAAAAGAGTACACAGTAAAGGAAATGAGGCAATAAATTTAAATTGTACGTTTTTATAATTCAAGTACAAGAAGCTAAAAACACCAAATTGAGAATTGGCATATATTGAGTCAAAGTTACAACATAAGAATAAAGATAATAAGAAAACTGATCCAGTCAGTTTTAAAATAATCATTTGGACTCCAAAGGCCCAGCTGTAAAAATAGGAACAGGAACATGATTGGTATAATGAGTAAAAGAGGGACAACAACATCTTAGAAATAGTCAGATGGACTAAGGGCAAAAGGTCAGTGTCAAAAGAAAGGGGGAATATATAATAGTTTATGAGAAAATTAATAATGATTTTAAAGGCAACAAGTAGTTACAGTAATAAAGACTACATAAGTAACTTAAATTTCTAAATCTCAAGAACTGTTTCAGTGACAAAGTCCTATTTCTACATTCTTCCTCTTTTTCAATATTTGAGAGAGCACACACACAAGCAGGGGAAGGTGGGGGGGAGAGAGAGAATCCCAAGAGAACCTGATGCAGAGCTCAAACTGAGGAACCTTGAGATTGTGACCTAAGCCAAAATCAAAAGTGAGACGGGTGCTTGGGTGGCTTGGTTGGTTGGGTGGCTGACTTCGGCTCAGGTCATGATCTCACAGTTCATGAATTCAAGCCCCTCATCGGGCTCTGTGCTGACAGCTCAGAGCCTGGAGCCTGCTTGGGATTGATTCTGTGTCTCCCTCTTTCTCTGTCCTTCCGCCACTTGAACTCTCTCTCTCTCAAAATAAATACACATTTAAAAAAAAAAAAAAAAAAGGTCAGATGCTTAACTGAACCACCCCGCTTCCCCATGGAGTCTTAATTTTCAATGTACCTTTAGCCCTTTTGGAGTCATGCATGTATCTATTCAAAAGCTAGATTTAAAAAGCTTTTATAAAGAACTAAACCCTATGGTGACTCAACAAATTACTCATTTTGCCCAAGACATAATAAAACTGTAATGTGTAAACAAGAGCTTTTACTTCCTTTTTATCATTCTCTATCAGCAACTACTTTTAAAAGACTAGAAGTCATTCTTGGTTCTCCAAACCACCTCCACCCAGTGAGTCAGCTACTAAAAGGGGTGGGTCTCACTATAGGAGTCTCAAGATGGCATCAAGCCCAGGAGCACAAGAGGCAGCTGTTGCAGATTTATGAAACAGAACAGGAAGGGCAAATGAAAACGGTCAACAGGAGATACTACAATTTTCCAAAACCTGCCTCTTGGTCGGGAAGGACTATTTAAATCAGCCAGCAAAAGCCTCCATATAAAGAACTAGAGTCACAGCCAGCCAGACTTTCTGCACAGGGTAGGCAACCATCACCAGTGAGGAATAAAAAGCAGCTTAAGTTCGGACTGACTAAAATTGTTTCTTCTACCTATCAAGTGACTGAAACTCCTTAAGTGTTTGAAAGGTAACTCATTAAGCTCTAACCAGGACAGATTACTTTATCAGATCAGCTCCCTATCTAATAGAAGATACTAGCGAGTTTAAAGGCAGTTGGACGACTTTTCATTTGTCACTTTAAGGTGGACATCTATCATCTCTCTCTGTATCGGAAGTGTTCGCTCAGGACGGGCTGTTAATCAGCACACTTGTTGCTGTTCAGGGAACAGGTATCAAATCTGGAAAGCGATTTCCTAGAATAGTTTCTAAGAATTATAAACCTGAGCCAATGTACAATTTTAGGCGTAGGCATTCTGTCCTACGGTTCGCTAAGCGGGGTACAAATTTCCCAAGTTTCCCTAAATTTGCTGTGTCACCGTAAAGTCTAGTTACCAGCCAGACAGCTTTCCGTGTTTCTCGCTGGTTTCCCTACTCAGTCCTCCTTGAGGTCGCTTCAGTAGGGTGGGTCATCCTCTGGCTTCCCTCCCTCCACCTGTAGTCACTTGCCTGAGCGCAGGATGTCACTGCTCCCTCTAATCTCGGGACAGCCGAGTGGCCCAGAGGAAGGCGAAAGGTCTTCCCGCCTTCCTGCCGGACTGGCCGGCCGCCGGACCTATCCCACCCCAATGCGCCTCCGCCCAAACGCGCCCGCCGGACAGCCAGGGTCCCGAGACACCGACGCCGAGACGCCCGCCACCCCGGAGGCCCACAGGCACCTCCGCCGAGCCCTACCGCGGGGACGCACGCGGGACCCCGCCACTTCCCGCACGGCGAGGCTGAGGGCAGGCCTGAGCGAGGTGACCCGGGGGACAGGGGCAGGAAGGGTAGGGGGCGCCGTCACTCACCTGACCGGGGGAAGCAGCGTCACAGCCCAACCCTAGTCGCCAGCAAGATGGAGCCGGGGGCGGGGCCGGGAAGGCGGGGCGCCGCGGCCGCCGCCGGAGCCCGTTAGGAGAGCCGCGGCGGCCGGGAACGCCCTTGGACCAGGAGGGGCCGGTGCTCGGCTCAGCCCGGCTCGGGCTTTCGCTTAGTCCGCGCCTAGTAGCTCCACCTGCGGGAAGAGAAGCTCCCTTCAGGTGGACTAGCCGGTTTTATCACGTTTCTCGGTCCCAAGGACCATCCCCAATCCCGTAGGGGTTCTCTCAAATCACAGAGGTTTTGAGGAATCCCGGAGACCTTTCAGTGACAGGGCGGCTGAGAAGGGCAGTGACTGGGAGGCCGGCTGAAGCCTCTCCGCCTCTGATATACTGCCCTCCCTGCGACCCAGACTCTAGGAGTGGAGCCCAGCAATTTGTTTAACAAGCCCTCCAGCTGATTCTAACGCACACTTAAGTTTGAGCCCCATCAATTTACTACTCTTCAAGCTTTTCTACCCAAAAGGTTCCTCATAAGGGTGGAATAGGGTGAATTAAATTTTAAGTGGGAACGGCAAAATATACTTAAGCCCCAAAAGTGAAGTGAGGTTCTTGAGGAAGGTCACTGCCAAATGTAAACAAAACCGCACAACACTCTGGGTATCCTGATTCATTCCCTAGTTCCTACCAGTGTCACTACTTGACAAATAATGGGCCTCTGTCCAATCTGCCCCCATAGACATCCAGATTTTAAGTGTTCCCTAAGAAGACTGTCCTTTTGTTTTTTCTTAATGTTTATTTATTTTGGGGGGAGGGGGAAAAAGAGAGAGAGAGAGAGAAAGCACACAAACAAGGAAGGAGCAGAAAGAGAATCCCAAGCAGGGCCTGATACAGGGCTCCAACCCACAAACTGTGAGATCAAGACCTGAGCCCAAACCAAGAGTCTGACACTTACACCAACTGAGCCACCCAGGTGCCTCAGACTACCCATACTCTTCTTTGTCCCACACTAGTCCTTGATGATTTCATCTGCCTTAACTATTGCCTTTAAGTAGATATTTTTCACATCTTCTATTTCCAGCCTATTTTCCTGAGCTATAAGCCCAAATACCAAATAGTCTGTTCAGACACTACATTTCCCACTTGATCCTTTCAGCTTGTCCTTCTTGCTTGACACACAGTACCTCTAGGATCAAAGAGCCTTTCCTTTGCCTAGAAAGTACTGCCTGCCTTTCAACAATTATTTATCTATTAAGACTTGATTCAAAGATTGCATGCATCATTCCTGCTTCAAGAAACTTTTCCTGACCTTCTTGTCCTTTTCTTTACTTTCCCTTAGGTAAGTAATTACTCCCTTTTTGTCCCCAAATAGACCTTTTCTAGATGTCCACTGTGGTATATTTAACAGTGGAGTCATAGCACATGAGCATGTAACTTACTTGTAGTCAACCACACAAACTTAATAAATCAAGGGCCCCTAGCTGGCGCAGTTGGAAGAGCAAGCAACTCTTGATCTTGGGATTTAAGTTCAAAACCTGTTGGGTGTAGAGATTACCTAAAAACAAAATCTTAAAAAAAAAAATTAGCAAAAACAAAACAACTCTGAAGGTCATTATATGAACCAGAGTTCATGTGAAATAGGAGCCATTATACTTCCCCTAATGTGAACATTCCACTGTGTCAGTCCAATATTTAAATACATTTTTTGTACAGTTAAAGCAGTAATTTTTGTCCCCCAGGAGACATTTGGCAATATCTGGAGATATTTTTGACTGTCACAACTGGGGGAGGCAAGGTGTTACCAATATCTAATGGGTAGAGATCAGGGATACTACTAAACATTCTACAGTGTACTAGGCAGCCCCCTTCAACAAAGAATTATTTCACATAAAGGTCAATAGTGCTGAGATTAAGAAACTCTTTAAAATCTTTTTTCTAAAGAATAAATTGGGTCATGTCATTCCCTTGATTCAACTCCTCCAATAGTTTCCCAGTGGAATCCAAACTCTTTGCCATGGTCCAAAAGGCCCTATCTAGTCTGGCCACCGCCTACCTCTCTGATCTCATCTGTCTTTACCTCCTTTCTCAATCATCAAACTCTGGTCAAAGTGGCCTTATGTTCAGACAAACATACCAAGCTTGTGCCCAAACACATAAGAGATTCTTAGGATCTTCACACTTATTACTTCTACTAGGAACGTTTTCCACTGCGTCATCTCAAATGTCAACCATCTCCTCAGAGGTGGGGATTCCCTGAACATTGTAGCATTAGAGTCACCAATGCCACCAACACCACTATCAGTTATACACTTCTTATTTTCTTTGTATCACTTAAAAGAATCTGAAATTTTGTATGTTTATTGTTTGTCCTCTCACTAGAATGTTATCTCCTTGAGAACAGGAATATCTCTATATATAGAGTCTAGTAATAAATGTTCAATAAATATTTGACTGCAACAAGGCCCCCAAAACCCAAGCCAACATTTAATCTGGTAATCAAATAAGCAGAGATTAATGTCCAATACTGGAAGCAAAAATGGCTCTGATAGACCTGCTGAGATAAAGATGTGTCAAAAACCAATGTAGTGCTAGCCTAAGGGATTTTCAATAGTTTTAAAAATGCAAATTTGGGGGGTTCCTGGGTGGCCCAGTTGGTTGAACGTCCAACTCTTGATTTCGGCTCACGTCATGATCTCACCCTTCGTACAATCAAGCTCCATGTCAGGTTCATGCTGACCAGCATGGACCCTGCTTAGAATTCTCTCTCCTTTGCTCTCTGCCCCTCCCCTGCTAGCATGCATGCTTGCTCTCTCTCACAAAACTTTCAAAAATGCAATTTTTTTTCACTTCATTCGCTAAGTTAGAAAATACAACTCTACTATATTGCTCTTGTTTGTCAGTCTTCTATTAAACTATAAACACTTTAAGGGCAGAGACCAGTTTATTATTTTTTTTTTGGAGGGGGCACCCGAATATGAACCAGGGACCTCTTGATCTGCAGGCAGAAACCAGTTTAGATTTCTCAGCATTTAGCATGAAGCTAGGCAGTTAGACTTTTATGTACTATCACCACCAGTCTACTAAGTTGGAAAGTTTTGTGTCACTTATTACAGTGTGGTTTCTGTCCTGAGTTGATTCTATAGATATATCACACTTTGCCCATCACCATCAGTAACCAAACCTTATAGATTTTACGTTTATGCTTTATCTATAAAATGTCACTATTTACTTGTTAGAAATTGCCTCTTCGTTTCCATGCCTCCTATCACCTTAGCTGACACCTGCATTGTCTCATCTTAATCATGATGTATCCAACTGGTTTTTCCTGATCAAATCAGTGCTCAAACAGTATTGCTAACTCAATCTGTTTGTTACTGTGTAAAATTAAAGTGGTATGAATTCAACAATGGCTACCATTTATTAACTAATGAACTACGTGGTAGGCACTGCATTAAGCACTTAGCAAATATTTTCATTTCTTACATTCTCTAAGATTTAAAAAATGCTTTTGGTAACAGCTTTACGAAGATATAATTCACTCATGTAAACTGTACAATTCAATGGTTTTCAATATATTCACAATCAATCTTAGAACATTTACATCACTCACAAAATAAAATCCATACCTTTTAGCCATCACCCCAATAACCTCATCCTGCTCATCTGTATGCTGCAACTAATCCACTTTGTCTTCATAGATTTGACTACTCTAGACATTTCTTATAAATGCACTCATACATGACTGGTCTTTGTGACTGGATTCTTTCACTTAACATGAACATCAAGGAACATGTTCTCAAGGTTCATCCATGCTGTAGCACAAATCAGTACTTCATTCCTTTCTAAGGCCAAATATTTCATTACATGGACACACATTTTATTTACTCATTCATAAGCTGATGGACATTTGGGTTTTTATCTTTTGGCTATTAAGAATAATGCTGCTATGACAATTTGTATGCATGGCTTAATTTCTCATGGGTACATACCAAGGAGAATTGCAGGATCAAATGGTAACTCAATATTTAACTTCTTGAGGAACTGCCAGACTCTTTTCTAAAATGGCTGCACCATTTTATATCCCCACCACAGGTGTATGAGGGTTACAATTCCTCCACATAACAACACTTGTTATTTTTTATCTTTTTGATTATTGTCATTCTAGTGGATGAAGTGCCATTTCATTATGGTATTGACTTGTATTTCCTGATAACTAAAGATGTTAAGCATATTTTCATGTGTTGACTGATCATTTGTATATCTTCTTTGGAAAAATGTCTATTCAGATCATTTGCCCACTTTTTTGCCAATTTTTTAAGCTTTATTTTTGAGAGAGAGAGAGAGAGAGAGAGAGAGAGAGAGAGGCCGGGAAGGGGCAGAATGAGAGGGAGACTGAGGATCCAAAGCAGGCTACACACTGACAGCAGAGAGCCCGAAGCAGGGCTCAAACTCCCAAACCATGAGACCATGACCTGAGCCAAAGTCAGACACTTAACCAACTGAACCACCTAGGTGCCCCTGCCCATTTTTAACCTGGGTTATTTGTTCTTTTACTATCAAGTTGTAACATTTCTTTACATATATTCTGGATATCAGTCCATTATCAGATATATGATTTATGAATATTTTCTTCCACTCCTTACACTTTATGATGTCTTTTTCAATAGTTTTTAATTTTAATAAAGCCCAATTTATCTATTTTTATTTTGGTTGGTTATATTTTTGGTGTCATATTTAAGAAACCATTGCCCAATCCAACTTCATGAAGTTTACCCCTATGTTTTCTTCTAAGAGATGTATAGTTTTAGTGAGTTAGGTCTTTGATACAATTTGAGTTAATTTTTTTACGTTGTGTGTGTGTGTAGGGGGCATCCAACTTCTTTCTTCTGCATGTGGAATCCAGCTGTTCCAGCACTGGCTGTTAAAAAGTCTGTTCTTTTCCCATTGGATTGTTTTGTCACTCTTGTCAAAAATCAACTGATCACAAATGTTAAGAATTTCTTGCTTCTCAATTCTATTTCATTGATCTACATATCTATCCTAGGCCAGTACATTGTCTTGATTACTATTGCTTTATAGTCAATTTTGCAATTGGAATGTGTAAGTCTTCCAATTTTGTAAACATTTTCCTTTAACTCTTAATGTAACTTAATACTAGGCATCATCCCCATCTTACAGATGAGGAAATTAAGGAAACCTAGAGAAGTTTAGCTTTTCCAGAGACACAAACATATTTGGTAGTTGCTCCAGAATTAATACTTAGATCTATGTAAATATAAAGCTGACCAGCAAGCTATGTTCCTTCTATAATCTAGTCTCACTATATCTTCAAGACTGAATTCATACTAATCCTCCAATGTACCCTAAAATAACTCTTTTCTTTTCTGCTTCTGAACTTTTATTTCTGTTGTTCCTTCCATCTGAAATGACCTGCCCTCCATTTGTTTAATAAAATTCTACTTCACAAAACCTTCACTATTCACTTACTGATCTCTCTTTTCACTCTATTATTACCTTAGGAATACAAGCCTCTCTTGTGGTTCTTATTCCATATTATATATATTTTTAAAATTTTTTTTAACATTTATTTTTGAGAGACAGAGAGAGACAGATCATGAGCAGGGGAGGGGCAGAGAGAGAGAGAGGGACACACAGAATCGGAAGCAGACTCCAGGCTCTAAGCTGTCAGCACAGAGCCCAATGCGGGGCTCAAACCCACGAACCGTGAGATCGTGACCTGAGCAGAAGTCGGACGCTCAACCGACTGAGCCACCTAGGCGCCCCACCATATTATATCTTACAATGGATATATCTAGGTATATGCATTACTTCCTTTCCTAGGTTAAAAATAAGGTCCATCTCTCATTCACCTTTGTACTTCTCCAAAGCTATAATACAGTATCTTCATATGGTAGGTACTAACTCCATACTTTGAATGAATATGTGAATTCTAATATCACCCTTCTCAGAATGGGCAATAAGAATGTATATGCGTGTGTTAGGGTTGGGGGTGAGAGGCTGAGGTCATGACAAGGTCGTAGGAATGACTAATTAAAGAATATCCTCATCTTGAAAATGTGATAAGAGAAGGATGGCATGAGATAGGATGTGGCAGAGTAGCAGGCCCAGAGAGCTGGGGTTAATAACTATTTTGGCAAAAGAGAAACCTCCAGTCTTGAGGTGGTGTGAATAGACAAGTAATACTTGCCAATGAAAGGAAGTAGGACAAAGGATAAAACAAGTGACTTAAGCCCCAAACTGAGTTTATTATGGTATAGAGTAGGTAATAACAAATAACTCCAGTATATTCAACTAAAGCCTAATATACCCTAGGATATTTAAATATAACACCAAACAAAAAGCTGCCCTAGGGTCAGAAGACCCTAACAGGAAAGAAGATAATAAGATATTTATCTAGAAAAGGCCAGGAAATCGAACAACATACCAATCCTCACAGCCTCTCCCATGTTCCCGACAGCTTCTCTGACTTGCCCATTTGTGTACCACTTCAAGTCATTAACGCCTCTCCATCTTTTAGCCCAGATTGCTGGATAACAAGAAAGTCTTTTCCAAAAGAATAAGGGGCCATTCTTCTCCTTTGCACCATCTGACTCAAGGTACAACTTTCTCACAAAGGAAACTATTAGGAATTCTAGGCTAGGAAGACATACCAGGGCCTCTTGCCACGTATTAAATCTAAAATCTTGTCTCTAGAAGCTACTCGTGGCTAACCTCTTAGAAATAAGTCACATCATATAGGAACTCCCATAGAATCTTAGAATCTTTACCTGGACAAGTGAAAGAGGTTTAGGAGATAGTGGATTTCAAAGTCGGCAACAACCTGACATCAGCAGAGTAATTTCATTACAACCTCCCCATTTTCTAGAAATCCAGTCAGGATACGGCTCAGCTATTTAAATCCCACCATCTACTTTTTCTTCCAGTTGCCTCCTATCCAGTTGGCAGGAACTTCCGAGAAACATGATATAGTAGGCATTGCAATACACTGGCTGCTTGTTGGGGTTGGAATAGGCCTGCTCAGGTTTGAGGGATGCAAAAGGGTTAGCTCCATAGGCGGTGATGTTTGTATCCAAGTCCACCAGAATCTGCAATGAGGCTGTCAATTCCTGATGGCTATGGGAGACAGATTAAAAAAAAAAAAAAAATAGTGAAATGCTGTGCTAATTATGAGAGACAGGATAGAAATTTCTCAGAACTTGATACTTCTGCACTCATCAATCCCCAAAATTACCTAAGGCTGGTTTAGGCAAGGGGCTCTCTTTCCTCCCATATGTCTCACTAATTACTTGATTAACTACCATAGGACTTGGTTGCAAGGGGATTAGAAAGCTAAGTATGGAAAGGAAGAAAACCCTCACCAGAAAACAGAAGATGAGCAAAGGGGAGAGAAATGAGCTCATCTATATAAAGAGAGGTGTTAAGGGGTGCGTGGGTGGCTCAGTCAGTTAAGCATCTGACTTTAGCTCAGGTCATGATCTTGTGGTTCATGAATCCAGCCCCAGGCTGGGCTCTGTGCTGACAGCTCAGAGCTCAGAGCCTGGAGCCTGCTTCGGATTCTGTGTCTCCCTCTCTCTCTGCCTCTCCCTCCCCTTGTGTTCTGTCTCTCACTCTCTCAAAACTAAATAATAAACATAAAAAAAACTTAAAGAGAGGTGTTGGGGCTCCTGGATGGCTCACAGTTGGGTGGCCGACTTCAGCTCAGGTCACGATCTCACGGTTCGTGGGTTTGAGCCCCGCATCAGGCTCCGTGCTGACAGCTAGTTCAGAGCCTGAAGCTTGTTTCAGATTCTGTGTCTCCCTCTCTCTCTGACCCTCCCCTGCTTACGCTGTCTCTCTCTCTCAAAAGTAAATAAAACGTTAAAAAAATTTAAAAAAAAAAAAGGGAGGTGTTGGGTGAGTCAGGGAGGTATCAAAAATAGGAAGAAGTTGACACCTGTAAACAGTGATCAATGTAGGAATCTTATAATCACGAAGTAGCAAGAGGGTGGGCAGCCAAGCCTCCATCAAGTCTGGGGAAGCATGGAAACCTATGGAGAGAAAAAACAAAAATAGATATGGATATAGAGAGGGGAAAGGCTGAGGTAGACCCTAAGCAAGATACTTCTTTTTTTTAATTATGTTCACCCTTTTCCTCACCTTGCTCACCTCCAATGCTCATTTACCATCATCATCCACCCCAGGTTCTTCAGTGGAAAATTCTGAACCCAGGTATAGCACAAATGGCTAATGATCAACCAAGGCTGTCATCATATTGTTTAACCTGACCAAATGAATGGGGTTCCAAATACAGAAGATACAAGAGTCAGGATGGAAAATTCCCAGAAAAGCCACCTAGTATTCCCCTGAATGATTCTTACCTGGATGGAATGCCACCACCAAATCTGGATGGGCTGTCTGCCCAGTCTCTACCTCCTCCTCCCAGAAGTCATGATAGAGGCCCCTATGACCACTGAGCTGAACTGTGCCAGGTTCCAGGATGGGAGTTGAGGTGCTCTGTGTAAAGCCAGCAGATACATCTGTACCCACCATGATCACATGGAGGCCAAGGTTTCCAGGAAACATGTAGCCAAGCTCATCATAGTCCTCAGGGTGAGTAAGGAATGTCTCCACGTGGGAAGCACCAACCACATGCACTGTGCTTCCCCCAATCTTCCCAACATCTATCCCCAAGGCCCGAAGCCCAAGGCCCAGTGTCAAGGGCCGTGAGAAGGCATCTGTCAGCAGCCGCTTCAAAGAGCCCTTCAAGACATCTGGGTCTGGCCTTGGCCGTCTTACGCTGGCCCACAGGATGGTCATGGCATGACTACCTAGCACAGCATCCAGTGTAGTATCTAGCTGTAAATGCCGCATAGAAAACCAGGTATCCCAGGCCTGTACAGCTTCAGCCAGGCATGGCCAAGGCCCTAAAGGTAGGACAAAAGCACCTGCAGGAAAGAAGAAATAAGAGTGACCTAATCCTTTCCTGGCTTATATTCCTTCCAAGTGTACTCTCCCAACTTGTGACTAGGAGTGCCCCACTCAGTGTCTCAGTTTTTCCTCATAACAACATGCTTTCATCTCTCTCTCCAAGTACAACCAATTATGACCACTATGGCAGAGCTCTCTAACACCACCATTTCACCTGTGACTTGAAGCCATTCCATGAGACGGTCCACAGCTACAAGACGCAGCTCTTGACAAACCTTCCTGTGTGCTGGCCAGTCTGACCTCTGGCACTCTGGACCACAGTAATAGACATTTCTGCACCTGAAAATGAGCCCCCAAAACAGATGTTCCTATACCTCGAAGGTGACTGGGTTATGTCAGGGTAAGGAAATTGATATTCCTGTACCTAGGAAGAAAGATCACTGGGTAAGGAAGGTAGGGAGAAGAATGACAGCTGATGCACTAAATTTGGGGATGATATTTGGGAGGGGAGGCATGAGGGACTAGGAATGTAATTTTTTCTCTTGGGTTAGAGTGACACCTCAGTCTGTATCTGGAACAACTCACTTTTTACATCCCTTACAGGAAAAAATAAATAACAGGAGTCTGTAGCTGCCCTCTTATCCTAGGTATGGCTCAACTCCCAGAACAGATAATGATTATACCCCTTGAGTACTCGAGAGGAGGGAGGTAGAGAAGATTATACAGTCGTCCCCTGCCCCCTTATCTACAGGGAATATGTTCCAAGATCCCCAGTGGATACTCAACTCACAGATGGTCCAAACCCTATATATACTATGTTTCCTCCTATACATACATATATATCTATGATAAAGTTTATAAATTAGGCACAGTAAGAGATTAACAACAATAACATAAGACATTTATACTATACTGTAATGTTATATGAATGTGGTCTCTTTCTCTCAAAATATCTTACTGTACTGTATCACCTTTTTCTTGTGATAATGTAAGATGATAAAATACCTATATGATATAAAGTGAGGTGAATGACACAGGCATTGCGACACAGCATTACACTACTATTTACTTTTTGACAATAGAGAAGGATCATCTGATTCCAGACCATGGTTGACCATCAAGAAGTGAAACCACGGAAAGCGAGCTGCAGGTAAGGGAGAATATTCTACCATGATCTGTCTGACCTCCTCACAATACCCAAAATAAGGAGCCCAATTCTTTTCTAATCTTTCTGTGGCCTGGATCACACAAAATGAGGAGTGGGCCTTAAGTTATTCTGAAAACTCTTAGACCTTTCCTCCTACAAGGAAGTCTTAGAATACGATCATTTCTGGATGACTCCCATTTAGCCCCCAACCAGTCACCTCTTGCACTGCCGTAGGACCTTGGAATCTGAAAGGCCACTAGGGAGATCTCTACAGTAAGCACAGAATCGGAAAGTGTCCTCCATCTTCTGGAACATTTCTTGAGGGCATTGAAATCCAAAGCCTGATACAGCAGCACCTCCATCTAATACCAACCTGCAGAAATGGCACAGAGAATAAGTGGCCATAGGAAAAAGAATATCTCTAAAATCTTTCATGACCTATACCTTGCCTCCAATATATTTCCACCTACTCCCACTATTTCTCACATAAGTATTTCTTCTATAATAATAAAACTTGCAAAAGTCAGGATGAAAAACTCCCTCATTGTAAATGCCCCATATTCCCCAAGCTATACTCCCTCTGTGCCTTCTGAAATCACTTCTACCAGATATTATTCTTCCACAGAGCTAGTCACTCACTTGTATTCTTCATAACTTTTCATGTTTAGTTTTTGAAGGATTAGCTGGGATAGGCCAGGAACATTATTTTCCAAGGAGAAGAAGCCAAGTGCATCAATGCTAGGGTCAGGTTTTGAGAGGGTCAGAGGCACAGAGGTCACAACTGTGGATGGGGTCACAACCATGGGAGCCACCGATGACGGGGGTTTCTTGTGCCTTCGCTGCCGGGATCTTGGAGCCATGGCTGTCCACTGATACCTGGGGACTATATGCAGAACAGATATGGAATGAAATTTTGCAAGTTGGTCACATATGACGTGCTTTCATATTTTTGACCTTTTACTCTTTATTTTACTCTTTATTCTAGTCTCTAAGGCCTAGGTATCAGTAAGATTTATTTGGTATCTACTGATTATTGATCACCATAGGAAGTTATAAAAAATAGGAGGGAAATAATTATATATGAACATAATTATACATATACGTGTTACATATGAAGTTCTATCAAAAATTTAAATATATATATATAAGAAAATTCACAGAAAAAGGTCTGGCAGGATTCTGAGTGATATACTCTGAGAATAACAGTGATTAACTCTGAGGAGGGAAAGAAGCAATGGGACAGGAACTGGGTTAATCGAAAGGAACTTGAGACTTATCTGTAATGTTTGACTCCTGAATAGTTAGAATATATTTATATATTATTAATGCATTTAAAAAATCAAAAGAGAGGAAAAAGCAAACAAGATTTGGTTGTCCAAAACTATGAGCTAATTGGATAATTCATCAATCTCACTTAGTTGGGGAAATAAAACATTCATTTTAGAAATAAAACCTATCATCACAGTTGTAAGCAATAGACCCAGAAGTAGACATTAAATGCAACACAAAATCAGCACCACAATGCTAAGAATTATATAGTTAAAGCAAGTTACACAAATTATGAGGAAAATTTCCTAAAGACGTGAGTTTTGAAGTAGAAATGATCCCGTACCCACCCACTACCTAGCAGAAACTCTGTGATACTCTCCTTCCTTGGCTGTCTTCTCCCATTCCTTCTACAATTGTTGAGTAAACAAAAGGAACTATATTGGAAAAACAGAAACATGCATTCACTCAATAAATATTTATTGCTAAACATTACAGTCACTCATAAAAATAATTATAAAAACAAATATGAAAAATACACTTAACATCTAAATGTCCTGTAGAGGGATCAAATGTAAATTATAACATAAGACAGTATATAAATCCTATAAGAAAAGTGAAACTAAAGCACTAATGGGACATCAGAAGAGTCTCTAGTTGGTTAGCTATAGGAAGACTTTATAAAGCAGGTAGCAGTCAGAATAGACCATGAATGATGGTAATACTTTGAATACATGAAATAAAAAAAGGAATTCTTAGCACAGAGAAGAGCATAAGTACAGGAATGGAGATGGAACACTGTAGGGATTAATGCAATAGAATGGTCTGCCTCCAGGGACAGGGAAATAGCAAAGGATAAAAAGGCTGACAGAGGTGGGTTTTACTGTGAATAAGGTAACTATTAAAGTTCAAACCAGGGATCATGTTTTGTTACAAAAATAGCCTGACATTTAATCCTTCAGGACCAGATTTGTTAGGGAAAAAACTCCAGAAACATCATTCAGCTGAAGTGTAGGTGGCAGAACAAATAAAAACCTCCCAGGATCATCCAGCTAAAATCTATTATGTGTACACCTGAAACTAATATAATATTGTATGTAACTAACTGGAATTAAAATTAAAACTGAAAAAAAATCTATTATCTTATGACATTGCTCTTTGCAAACTGCTGTCCTCAGTTAATGAGGGAACTAATCTGTATTTTTCTTTGTACTTTCTTCCTCTTCCTTTCATTCCCCCCCTGTAATCGCTCCCCTCATCTCACAGATAAATGGATGTTTTCAAGTCCAAAGAACAGACATAGCTAAGCTCATCTGCATACTGTATCTTCTACATTCTCGCAAATAGAGAAGAAATTAGACCTGAAGGTGGTAGATTATTTTAACATTTAAGGGTCATGTCCCTTTACGAAAAGATGCCTTCACACCTGACTACCCCATTTCCAACAAGTGGCCTGACTCTTCCCTCCACTTTTAACCACACATTCTCAATCACATTTCCAGAATCAGTGCAACTCTAGAAGTGTTTATCTGCTCTACCTACCCAGCCTCGTCAGGCAAGAGAACACCTTCTTGAATCTTGAAAGAAGGGACTCTTTTTTTTTTTTTTTTACAGGTATGGAGAAAAATTATCTTTGATCTGACATAAGTCAAGAGTCTTAAATCCTGGGATTAATAATAAATATATATTCCTAATGTTCAACTAAAAGCCTTCTGCAATGGAAGCCAATTAAGACAAGAAATGTATTGCCTCAGTTATCTGCCTTTCCAAAGAGGTCCTTCTCGAAAGGAAGACTAACTCTTGTCTCTCTAGGAGTTGGCTGAACTCACTGGGAAGTGAAGGGATCAGTTTGGGGAGGGGTGAGGCAATGAAATCTCTGACAGTTTCCTCTATGTCTAGGGTTCATGATACAAATGAACTAAATTTCTGGCAGGAAGATAAGAAGGTGGGAATGAGAGGCCAGGTCCTTGCATTTGCATCTACGTGAGGCTCATATCTGAGTTTATGTACCACAGGCCCAGCTTCCTTGGTTCTAACTTTTCTGCAAGGAGCCCCAGGAACCTCCAAGTTTGAGGGGGAGGGATGGGACTGAGAAAAAAAAAAAAAAAAAAGGCTAAAAACAGGACAAGGGAGAAGTTGGAAAGAATTACATACAATGAGCTTTCAGAATTTTCCAGAGATCAGTCTATGTCACCAAGCAAGGAATCACCTTTTTCTCTAGCCGCCCCCAGTGGCTTGGGCTCTAATTTACTCCCAGTATACAAGAGAGAAAACACCAACACCAAGGACTAAAGAGGAGACATGAACTGGACAGTCTAAAAACACTCGTATCCTTCATTTCCAAATTCCCTAAATATTAGCCTATTCCCAGACCAGGTCTCCCATCTTTCTCCTTCACCATCAAAAGCCTCAAGTTTCCCCTACAACAGTCATCTTCTCACTATCTCCAGACCAGGAAGGCCCATGTAATTTTCTCTAATTCACCAGCAAACACAAAACATCTTTGGGGAGGTAGAGAAAGGGGAGAGTGATGCTAGTCATTGGGGATCTTCAAAACGAGTTAGGAAAGAAAAAGCGAAAAGGAGGAATCCGTTAGGAACACTGCTAGTATTAAGCACTTTCAGCTGCTTAATCAGTGATTAACACTCCCTGGGGTGATAAATGTTTTACTCAACTTTTAACTAAGCAAGCAGATGGTTTGAAGGGAGAGGAACTTACCCTGCTAAGCCCTCGGCTTCCTTTCTTCTCTCTTTCTTCCAAGTGAAGTGAATGCTTGATCTCCTCAGATCTAGGTTGTGTGTGACTTGCAGCTGTCCCTTTGCATCACTTTCCTTTGCAAACTGTTGAAATGCTGGGTCTCTGTGATCTGGCGTGCCCTGCCAACCAGACAAACAACATGAATTCTCCCTAATGAGTCAAGGAGGTACCTGGTCCCCTGCCCAAGGACTTCTCTCTTTCTGACCTTCCTTCTCTGCCAAGAAGGCTCAGTATTCTGTCAACGCTCCCAAACTCACCAAAGGCCAGCCAGGCTGAGGAAAGATGAAACCTACTGCTTCTTCAATGTCTCTTAGTAAGGCAGCATTTCTGCTCTTAGTCCAGTATCAGAAAAAGAAACAAACAAAAAACACCTAGGATTAGTTCAGAAGTCATTATTTGGTTGGTAAGGGAGGCACTAGCTCAGAGCAATACAAACTCCTGGAGTTTTGGATATTAATCCAGACCCAGGAAGAGTTAACCCAGGCCCCAAGTCCCTTTCAGTCTAAGAAACACTGCTCAAACACAAAAACAATGATTAATATAATTTGTATAGGAAGTACAAATATAATACCTAAGAAAGAATACAAATGGTTATTTAATGGTATATAAGGAAAACAATTGTAGGGGAAACAAAATTAATTTGTAAAATTCACTTTCTCTGAAATGAAAGCAAGGTATTTTCTGAGTGAATGTCACATCACACTTCACTTCTTTCAAAAGAGTAAATAAAAAGAGGAATAAAATAAGCAGAATCAAAATATTACTAATTAAAAATGCATTCTATTTCTAGGAACAGAAAATATAAAAGAATCAATTCAAAAATCTTCTCATTCCTTCCTATCATGAATACTAATCCAGGGAATCTAATTATACATTCCTAGCTCCCTTTCACTTATCAGGCTCCAGAGTCTCTCAGAAGTTATTAGGGCAGTCGTCCTATATGACTGTAAGACCTGACTTTCTGCTTATATCTGGCCCCAGCTATGTCACTTACCTGCCTCTATGAACATCATCAAACTGGGGAACAGAACAAGTTGCAGTGGGGTCCTGGAATGTGGTAAATAAAAAGCTTTATATGAACAGATGCAGAGAATGGATTCCTTTTTTAAAAATATTTTTTTTAATGTTTAGTTTTGAGAGAGACAGACAGCACACGTCAGGGAAGGGCACAGAGAGAGGGAGACATAGAATTCGAAGCAGGCTCCAGGCTCTGAGCTGTTGGCACAGATGTGCCTGATGGGGGGCCCAAACCCACGAACCATAGGATCACGACCAACACACAAACCATGAGATCATGACCAGAGCTGAGCTGGATGCTCAACTGACTGAGCCACCCAGGCACCCTGAAAATAGATTCTAAAGGAACTCCAAATTATAGAAATCAAACTAAGCAGGAAAGGTGGAAGAAAAGTGTTAAGGATGCAATCACATGACATTATTCAGAATAGCTATGGACAAAAGAAAATCAGTTGCAATAGGCAAAAATCCTGAGTAAAATCAGAGTAATTCATTTTAAGCAAAGGTTTCAGGCCTATTTCAAATTTAAGTGGCAGAACATTTAAAGGTTATGAGTTCTGTTAATATTAACTGAACTGCAGAAGGCACAATAAGTGAGAGATGGTCTTTTAAAAAAATTTTTTTAATGTTTATTTGAGACAGAGCGTGCGGAGACAGACAGAGAGAGAGAGAGAGAGAGAGGAGACACAGAATCCTGACGCAGGGCTCAAACTCATGAACCATGAGATTATGACCTGAGCTGAAGTCGGAAGCTTAACCAAATGAACCACCGAGGGGCCCTGAGAAATGGTCTTTTCTATCTCAGCAGTGTCATCTTTGCATATAAAGGGATATAAAATAAAGAAAAAATTTGATACTGAATATTAATTTCTATTTTACCATCACAGCTACTAGCTCTGGTAGACATTTAAATTTACAGTTTAGAAAGATCTGAACTTTTCAGTTTGCTTTCATCATGAATTACATTTATTTTTTTATTTTATGATAGACAGTCAGGGAAAGACAGAGAGGGAAGGAGAGAGAATCACAAGCAGGCTCCACACTGTCAGCACAGAGCCCAATGCAGGGCTCAAAACTCACAAACCATGAGATCATGATCTGAGCCAATGTCAGATGCTTAACTGACTGCACTACCACAGGCGTCTCATGAGTTACATTTTTAAAAAAGCCTTAAAAATGCTTCAATGGTTCATTGTGACACCTTAAAAAATACTTCTATGGTTCACAGTTATGAAGAAAGACTAGAAATAGGTTCCTATTCAACAGGTAGGAAGTGGTCAGTGAGGTACTGGGTGATTTTTCTACCACTCTTAATGTATACTACTTTTTCTGAGTTCTGTTCCTTTCTCTTATTTTCTTCCTCTTCAATTTTTATTATCAACTCATAATTCTTCTAGTTTGCTAATGATGTTTTATGTTTACCCATGATTTCCCCAGTGATGGATCTAAGGGCAGTGTTCCTGGTACCTGATATTCCAGTTAAGCTCTTAATTTAGAGATGCATAGTTTTTATAAAACAGTAACATCAAGAAGAACCTTTAAGGTATGAAATGCATGGCAACTTTAAGGGTAGCTCATGGGCTGGTATGTGTGTAAGCTGATAATACACCAACTAAAAGCTGTAATAATCATCAATTTGAGTTCTGTTTGTTACCTGAGATTAGGCAAGTATATACATTTCAACTTAAATTAATGCTTTGTAATGTGGATCATTATATTTATTATTGAAAACTGTAATAAAGTTACCATATGGTTACATTATAAATGTTGAGCCATATCCTAATTTCCCTCAATTTGCAAAATTCCATACTACTTTGATTATGGCAAAGAAGAAAGGAATATGATGGCAAGAAAATGCAGTACCATGAGTATCCTTTTTCTTACTGTTAAAACATCCAATAAAATCCCAATACAACTGTTAACAAAATTCTAAATAGTAACATTTTTTTCAATTAAAACTTAAATGAAATAATAATTTTAAAAATAGATTTAGGAGGCCTATAATAGGTACCCAAAGTCCTCTAGTGCTCAGTTACTAATAATGCTCGTGTAAGACCAATGTAACCAAAGTTAAAAAAAAAAAAAAAGCAAAATTTATGAAGACAAGAATTTAATTCATCAAATTACCATGAACTGTCCACGAGATAATCTTCTCTGAAGGCTATATATACCAGTTCTGTTAACAGGATTTTCTGATTTGCATGAGATCAAATCAGACTACATCTTCCAAATAAAACCCAACACAGAGATAGGAGCAGCGGCCCATGCATGGAATTTATTGTGTGCTACTGTTTATAAAATACTCGAATAGTCCTGCACATGCATAATATTTCCAACTTAGACAGGAGACCATACAGGGTGCACTTTCTGGCAAACAAAACAATAGATGGTTCCGCTGCCTGGAGCTCTGAGTTGTATTCCAGGGCATGAGGGAAGCAGGCCACCAAAGTAAAGGGAAATACCAAACTACAGTGGCAATCAATACAGGTCAATAATTGTGAAAAATTAGCACATGGTTCCATTTAGTTTAACCAAGCAGTTCTGTAACTATCAAAAGAAAATGTTCAACATGCAATCTTGACTTTTATGCTTCCACTAACATCTGAATGACTGAACAGAACCATTGCTGCTATGCTGCATTGCTTAATCAAAAACACTTCCAGAACATTTTTAAAATTTCCTTTGCATCGAAACATAAAAATGATAGAAGCCAGCAGCAAATCACCCTGGTGGCTATTTAAGCAACTTGAGTACTCACAATAAACTAAAATTTCTCATAACATCTAGGTAACCTATACATGTCGTACCTGTACATCATAGGTCTATATATTAAATATTTGCAAAATGAAAACATGCATACACAAAATACGTCAAGTTTTACAGACATGATTTGA